TTGGCTTGTGTGGGTCTCTCCTGAAAGTACAAAAATAAAACATGATGTGTTTTAAACTTAATTTTCATTTTATGTTATGATCATGTTAAAAACAAGAGTTTACAGCCTGCTTTGACAAAGACAGCAAACAAGAACCATGACTAATAATTCTTCTTCTGCCCTCATGGGAGATGGTAAGAAAGACTTCATGTGATTAAATAAAGATATTGAACTGGATTTTTATGGGTTTATCAATGACTATGTAAAAGCATCATGTGCTATTTTGGTGCACCGTATCTAGTTTTATGGTGGTAATTTGGTCAAGGGTGGAGATTGTGCCAAGATATTTGCACGCACAAATCATATCTAAGTAATATATTGAAATGGCTAACTTACCAGTGGAAAGATCCATAGGTCAAAATGATTCCTTTTTATTACCACAAAAACATAAAACTAATATTTTAAAGCCTAAAATTAGGTTAGTATCTGGCCTGATGTGGTATGGGTATAGTTATCTATCTTGATTTTGAACATCTGTGTTACGACGTGAGTTACCACTTGATTTTCCGACATCAGACAGGATGCAAAGAGATTTATATCTGCTCGCCATTCCTCGAAATCCCATTGAGGTCAGAGTCTTTCATAGTGAAACTTAACATAGGGTCACATAAAAGGCCCCAGAACCATAAAGAATTGATATATTGGCACACTTTATGATCTGATCGTGTCTTTGTGCTTTGATCCTCAGGATTCACTGCATTTCCTGTTCTCTGTGTTTTCAGAGGAATTGAAACTTAAGCTCTTGTCTGACACAGATAAGACATACAAGCACTGTTCCTTGGATGTGAGAGAAGTGCTGTTCAAACTTTATTATGAGGTTAGTTGCAGCTTATGACGGATGACATGTTTCTTATTTGTCATCTGTGAGTCATGGAAAAGATCAGAGCTCCAGGGTGGACATTAAAATGAATACATTTCAACTTAGACTGAAGTTTTTAAGTTGTCCGGTTTTTGTGAGTAATATATCAGTCATAAAGACAGTTTTTACGGCTGGTGTAGGTGTTTTTTTATCCATTATATATGTATAAATTTAGTTCACATCACCCAACCTAACAGAGTAATCTGATAGTGAGAACATTTACTTTGTGATGAGGATATAATGTTAGTGTCACACACTGTGGGTCAGAGAAGTCATTTAACATCATCAGCTGAGGCTTTGATAAGAATTTGTACTTTTTGGAAACAGTGAAGAGTATCAAAAACAAATACTTGAACCTTGAAAACAAGAGACTTTAATGAAATAAGATAGATTAGATAGAACTTTATTGATCCTTTAGGAAAGGTTCCCTCGAGGAAATTAAAAATTGAGCTAAAAGATTAAAGTCAACTGACTTCTTCTTTTCAGTATTCTGAAAACAACAACAACTTTGATCTCAAAATTCTGATTTTGATCTCAGAATCCTGAAAAAATTAAAGTCAGATGGGGTTTAAAACCAGGGCAATCAGAGCTCACAGGAGCTTTAATGTGATTACAGTCATTTAACAATCCAGGGAATTAAATCCTCCTTCATAAGAGAATTCATATTGTCAAATTAATCAAGCGAATACAAAGCAAAACAAACAATAATGACACTTAGCTTAATGAGCTATTGACCTGACCTTCACAGAGGCTTTATAGTTCCCGTATTGTGTAGTTTATCAATGTAATCAGGATGTCCTGTTGTAGGCAGACACAAAGCCTGTGAAGCCAGGTCAACAGACTTTAAAGAGAGACTTAACTTGACAGCTGATAGCGGGGTCTGATTTCTGATAGTGTCAGTTAAACATTCAGAGTCTGTCTCAGGGAACAATTCAGCTCTGGTTTCATTTCACTGTAAGGCATCAGCTTCAGTTTCACCACTAACAATGTAAATTTATACAATCAAACAGTGATAGATTGTCATTCCTGTCTGCCCCCCCTTGGTTCCTGATTGTGTCTTCCCCACCTGTGTCTTATCACATGCCACTACCTGGTGTATATAATCCAATTTGTGTCACAGTCTTGTTGCCAGGTCGTTTTCCTTCATAGTTTACATTCCAACATTTTTCCACAGTCATAGTCATGTCTTGATCCTTGCCTGTTTTTTGACCTGGCTTATAATATCTAATAATGTGGTTGCACGTCTGTTAGATAAGGAAAAGTGTGTCTTTTTAAAATTATTTCACCACATTTAACTCCATAGGAGAGAAAACATCCTTTTTAAAGCGTATAACTTTGCCCCCAAGTGGCCAAAATGGATACAGGTTTTTTGGTTTTTATTTTGTTCAAGCAAGCAGTCTATAATAAAATACAAAAACTGTTATCAGTGTAATTTTAAGTTAAAGAAGCTGGAACAATTTATCCTTTTACCTTAAGTTTTACTGAACCATTCAAAAAGGCTGCGGGATGGCATTCTTTTATTTTCTAAGAGACAAAACGTGAAGATTTTTTTTTTTTTAATGAGAAAACAAGCTTTCATCTTGAAATAATTAAATGTATCAATCATTGCCATAAAATCAGCTTGTAAACCCTGAATAGTGAGACGAGTGGGTTAAAATTCCAAGACAACCACTTCAATTTACTTGTTATTGTGGGGGGAAAAAAACAAAAACAAAAAAAAAGCATTGTTGTGTAAAAAAAGTAAGATACATATTTGGATCTCAAGAGAGACAATCAGTACAGCCAGAGGCAGTAAAAAGATTAAATTGATGTCTAACCTGCCATTGCCATCACATGTTCTTAGTGATGACATGAAGAGCAATATTTTTCTGAGAGAGAGAGATTGTTTATTCGATCAAATATACATACAGTACAATTTTAGACAAGAAATTCTCTATTTTTTGGAGATCGAAAAGGAGTAGGTAGAAGCTATTTTCGTTTATTTGTACCTACCCTCATTCCTTCCTATTTGTTGACCTTTTACATGTCTCTAAAATTTTAGGATTTCTGAAGTCGCCAAAAAGAAACCAAACCTCCAAAGTCTAACATGAATATGTAACAAATCATTAATACTGAATCAAAGACCTTATATATACATATATAAATCCATACCTATATACACGTATATACACACAAATATGCACTTTAAACAGTATATATACCTAGAAAACTTCAAATCTCTCATTTGTACCATACACATATAAAAGATAGATAGATAGATAGATAGATAGATAGATAGATAGATAGATAGATAGATAGATAGATAGATACTTTATTAATCCTAGAGGGAAATTCAAATGGCGTAATATAATAAATGGCAAACATAAATGTGGCAAAACGAAAATCACTTATGTAAGTATTTTTCAATCATGCTCTGGTTTTATTTGCTTTCAAACTGAGAACCAAGAGTAAAATGGTTTAGTATCTTAAAATGAAATAAATTAGACAAAGTAAAATAAAGATGATTTGCGAGAGTAGACAGAAAATTTTAAATCGGTTAAATGTAGATGACTGTTGAGAACACCTGGAGGTTGTGTAACGACAGTACTGAACCAATGCACCACACACAAACAGTAATTTTATGTGGTCCAAGTTTCCCAAAGTGAGATGAGTTAAATTTGACCTTCAATATAAAAGCATAACTGCGTAGTACGACGTTCCCAGCCGTGTTAACTCTCCTTAATTTTTGTGCCGGGCTTTTATTTTGAAAGTTCCTTTACAAACTTCCGTGTCAGCGCTTGAGCTCGTCACCGTGGTGCTGCTGCTGAGCCTCAGCAGTGTGTCCGTGTGGATGGTGGACTGTTCCCGGTGAAAAAACACCGACTCCGGGCCTCACGAAAATGCCTCAACGCCGCGTATAAACGGGAGAAACTCACGGAGGGGAGAGAGTTAGGTGTCCGGGCAGGCTTTGAGGAAAATACAGGCAGGATGTTGCAAGTACTAGCTTGTGGCGCCGTAGTTTTCCCCGGTCTCTTCCTCGCCTTCAGGAGGATCCTGCCGTGTGTGTTCAAACACTGGAGCGATGCCGACGTGGTGCTGGTCAGCGAAAGGTAAACCTGCGACCTTTTATTTTTACTTCCAACGCCTAAAAGCAGCAAAATAACACCAAAAACCGAGCAACTTTGAGGGCACCGTTATAAAATAGGGCCGTTGCTACATCTCAGGTTGCTAACATGACCTGTATTCATTTGGGTTTTAACTGGAGGTAAATCCTCTGAATTTGACTCTTCTCTGTTTTTGTCAAGCCAAGTGAATTTATACGGCACATTTATGAACAAAACACGATAACCCGAGTGTTGTTGGACCGTTACAGACTGTTAAAGGGAAATAACATCACAAAAAAGACCAACAACGACCGTTACTTTACTCAAGTGCTTACAATAGGTACACGACCTCAACGAAAACATTTATAAAACCCACAAATAATGACATTTTGAGAGTTTTAGGACTGCAAAGAGGCTGCAAAGCGAGCCATGTAACCTAAAGGTGTCTTACAGAGAGTAACTGTGGGTCCCTACAGAGATGAAGACCTGCTATCAACGTTGCCATGGAGAACCTAGTGATACAAGAGCTAATGTCCACATTGAGGCTTGATTAACAGTAAATTAATGGTTATTGTTGTTTCTGTGTGTTGATACTATGCCTGGAGATGATTTATTGTTTGCAAAATTGCTCAAAAGTTACATTTCAATGCCAGGGGTGTGTTTTAAGCATTAGCCATTAGGGTGGCTTTGCCCCAACCCCCTCCAAAAATCAAACTGGCCACCCTAAAGTCTTAGGTCGTGTTCACACCTATAAGGTCCGTTTCCTGATTTGAATCCAAGGCAAGACGATACATCTGTTTTGATTGTTTAACTGGTCCGGTTTGCGTACACAAATGACAAACTCAATCGCTCCAGAAAACGGAACTGGAAGTCACGTGACCGTGAATATTGTTCGGTTGTTGGCCATCGTTTATGTGGGAGTACAAACCCCACTCTGCTGTCTTCGCCTGTCATGAAGCATCGTAGGCAGATTTTGCTTTTGCTACTCATGTGGAGCGCGTATCAAAAGACGCTAGTCGATCGCGCGTATGAACGGCTCGTTAGCCAGTGAGTGATAATGGCGGCATTAATGAATACATGCCGGAGTAGACGTGCTGCAAACAACAGACAGATAAAGACGAGACAGTAACAGGCATTAATGAGAGCCTACCAAGATGTGTTTACTCTCTGGTGTCAGTCGGGACAAGTGAGGATTACAAATAACCTAGCCTAGGTGCGTTTCCTGTGATTGGTGTGGATGACGTTCACACCAGAAATGAACCGCACTTGAATTAACTTTATAAACTTTAATCAAGCCACTACTCACAGAAGAAGTAGCTGTATGCACATGCATGCAGCTTCTATGATGGTTAGTTGTGACAGACTCAGGATGTTTAGATGCACAGTTAAGTGGATTGGGCAATTTACCTGGACTACTGCAACCCAGGTTACTAACGGTATCATGTCAGCCTGCATTAAGGTAGGTGTCGATATGGTCACTTTCAACTTGTTACCATCGGGTCATGTCCCAGTTGACTTTTTACGTATCAAAACTATTGACAAAATGCTAATGCATAGCAGGAGGCTAAGGGGTGAACTGGTGTAGCCTAAGTCTTGAAAGAGTTAAGCTTTGAGGATTTTTATCTGAGCACCAGTGTGTTAATTTAGTAAATTAAAATAGATGCACGGAAACATAATAGCTTGTGGAAATACACACCACTTCACACAACCACATCTGTAAAAGTCAGTGTCCAAGGCTCCACTCCTCAGATAATGTTGCAAATATAGTGATAAAGACGCCTAACAAATGATTAGCTTCATCTCAGTTTTTGTGTATTATTTGCACACCAAGTAAGAAATACAATTGGTGTCAAGTACTTAAAAGTCTCCTGTATGCATGTTTTGAACCTTTTAACATTGAGGAAGTCGTCTGGCACTCTGCCTTGTGTCTGCCAGGGTCCATGTTGGAAGTTACACTTCTGTAAAACTCAAACACGCAGCTACTTTGATAGCTGGACATGTAATGGCTTACAAAGTCGAGTTCGTGTATGTATGACCCACTGTGTGCCTTGCTCACATGTGCACAGCTCAGTTCAATGCTCATTTGTACGCTGTCACTCTTGTTAATCCTCCTCTGAGCTGTGGTCAGGGCTGACTGCTGAGTTAGCTATGCACTGGAAAACACAGAACCGGACAACTGAATAAAGCCTCGACTAATTTACTCATGCTCATCTAAGGGAAAATGTTGTTCTCACAAGCGTCCAAGCATCCGAGGGATGTCACATTGCTTGTTCACCACTAAAATTAACTCGTAAATGTGTACTGTATTTACTTACCAGCATCGGTCACATGCTTGGATTGTTTTTAAGTCTTTGAGTCACTAAAAATGTGTGATATTTTGCAAAGCTCTCACACATAACTACTGCATTCATTTCTCCCTTAAAGCATCAGTTGCTTTTACTCTATGCAATTATGTCTAAATATGATCCATTGATTTGATTGATGCAGTCACAACCAGATGATGGTTTTGATCAGTTTTGCATGCATCTCTGTTTACAGTTACTTTGGGATTATATTTATGAGATTAAAATAACCACATCCGCATGAGTGCATATCTTTCAGGTGTGCAGACTGTAGTTGCATCCAGTGAAGTCCACAGCCTGCGGTGCTGCTATGTAGCTTATTGTAATACCGTCTATGTTTGTCATGTGGAGTCTGTAGGTCTGCAGGCTATTTACACAGGTAAGGTACAGATGAGAGATGTCCCACCATGACTGTCATAAAATGGTTTGCAGAGTGAGGCTAACACTAGCAGAGTCAGCACCACTAGCCCATGGCTTTCTGCAGTCTTCCTTGCAGTGTGATGTCCTTATGGCTTTGCTGAGTTCGAATTGCCCGAGTGGTTATACAAGTCATTTTGGATTTGGAAACAGGCGACTTTCTTCTTAATCCCCATAAAAATGCTGCCAATTTACATCATACAATGAGATGTCATCAGTCATCTTATTTACATTTGGGTGGAGGAGCATTATAACATGAAGGCAGCACCGGAGCTGAAGTCCTGGCTAGTGGTGGGTGTCTACATTATACAAGTTAACAAAACATATAACCAACATTTTGAGTCTACAGTTGTAGAAATAGGAATAACTCTGACATAGTTGCCCACAACGAATTAGCCAAGCATCGTGGACTTTCACACCTTTTAATGGAGGGGCTGTTAATAACCATTTTTTGGAGTAAATTGAAGAGCATAGGCTTGGAAAAGGTGAGGATAATCCTCGGTCAGCACAGAAAAAAGACAAACCCACTCACGAGCAGTTGTTTCGAGGTCGGGCAAAAAGGCTTTTCTCCTGATTTGTTTTTACCTCACCAGAATAGCAGTGAACAGCGAAAAGCAGGGCAGTGCTGAAAAACGACAGCGGTCAGAGCTTAGCACCAAAAAATGCACATATTTTTAGTCTCCTGTAGTAGAGGGGATGACTTTACCCTACTTTACAGAACAACACTCGACTTCATAAGGGATTATAATGCTCGACATCACCCGGCACAGACTCTAGGTCTAATAGTCTCAAGGCCACAGTTACCCTTTGCCTTTTAAGGTTCATACGGCAGTAGTGCTCTTCGTGGAAGGACTTATAGATGGATATGAATGCATCCTACCTTTCTGCGTGTGCTTCAACTACTTTCTCATGGTTTACAATGGACCTAGAGAAACCACCAGCCAAACACTTAACAGAATCAGGTCGATTGTAACGCCACACAATCAACCTGTTTCTGTTCAGTACTTATTTACCACCATATCATTGTCCAGCTTACATAAGCCTGATGGTTTACCTGTTATGTTTGTCTTGAAAACCTTGATTTGATAAATAAGAAAACCTTGATTCGATAAATAATACTAGCAAATATATAATGATACCAGTTCCAATGTATGTAGCAGTTTGAATGAGTCACCCCCCATCATACCATTCCCACGGTATGAGCTAGGTCAGCCCCCGTCAGTCATTTCTATTAGATCAGTGAACGTGCCTGCAGCAGAGCATTTTGTAGACCTTCTTTGTAATAAGCAGCAAATGAGTACAACTGCTTAACCCTGGGGCCTTTTCCAGGGCACCCACACTGTTCCTGCCACCAGCCTGTAGGCTTACTGTTGGACAAGGTGGGCACTAGTGGTGCAGCTCCAGTAAACCAATCATCAACTACTGTAGGTTAGGTCAGACTGGTCAAAAAGGTAACCAGTAAATGACCTTTACAGAGTAATCATGATATTGTTAGTCTTTGATGTAGTTGTAGTCATTAGAGATAGGCTGATGAGTCGGTCAGATGGTTTATGGCAACAACCCAATTTTTATAGTCCTCAAGTACAGCAAATATAATTAACCACAATTACCACAAGTTAACTCCTGGCAGTTATTTATGAATTTTTAGATAAAAAGTGTTAATCAAATACTTATTCTATAGTTTTAACTTACAGTAATAGAGGCTACATGGTTACTGAAATTCCAGTGTGTGTTCAACAGATGGAAAAAAAGTTTTTAGAGCCGTTAACATAAAAAAGTGACATATTTTCATTCAAGGTTATCATACTGTCAGGATCTCATGGTACCTGATACTTACTCCTTAGTACTAAAAACTGGTAATTTTTCTTCATCATTACTCTGCCGTAGTTATTGGTCAACTTTTCCCACTTTTATGTTACTTTGCCCCAGTGACTGTCTCTTCTGTCTATCATCCCCCTGTCAGTGCAGCGGTGAGTGACGTCTGATCACAGCACGATAACTACGTATAACTGTACTCAGAATAATCGTCCAGTGAGTTTTCATGTGTGGGAAGCATTACTATAAGTACCTGTCCACTGTCTTATTGATTACCTGTTTATTCTTGACCACTGAAGTGGTTAGGGAACAGTGCAGTTAGTGATGTAGCTGCATCCATTTGTGCGATTGAGCGGTTGTGATGGGAAGAGAAGAAAGAGAGTGAGTTCCCTCTTGTTAAGAAATGCACTTTACTCTGTTTGCTCTTTTCGCTTCTACAGCCACTTTTTCTTTCGCTCTGCTGCAGCACCGATGGATCTACAGATGATGTAGCCCAGTTACTGTAAGAGCAGAAAAAAACCCACCTCTCCTTTCTGTCAGACGGTGCGTGTGTGATAGCACACGAGAGACCAAGCGGTCCGTGTATAACCAAACAGTCAGGAGACTTGGTCGTAATGAAAGGGAAGCTGAGGTTGTTCACTGGTCTGACACAGCAGGAAAGAAAAGACAACATTGCCGAACAAGGCAGCAAGGCATTCTTCCTTTTTTCCACTCTGCACGCTCCTCACCCCGTCAACCTCGACCTTTCATCAGCGCAGTGAGAGAGGGTTATTGGCGGACAAACAATGAATAGGCTGTGTAAAATCTGGGTCTTGTGATGGAGTATGCAGCCATACAAGCCCTAGAAGGCAGCGAGGCGTGGGGGTAAAATGTGTGTGTGAGTTTGCGGGGGAAAGAGAGAGACCAGTTAGTCTTTTACAGCCCAGACCAATCGTTTTTGTAGTTGCCGGTCACATGGCCGTTGTTGCCTCGCTGATGCCCGTGTCATGGCCGCATTCCCATGGAGATCGGTGTGGATGGCAGCAGGTTCAAGCAGGAAACCCCACAATTACACTCTTTGTTCCACAACCTCAGGATTTGCAACACACCATTTGAGGTGTTTGAAAAGAGAAAGCAGTCTTTATTAGCCCAGTTAAATTTGTGCTTATTCAGAACCAGAGCAAAAGTCTTGAGCTTTTTATGCTCTAGGGGGGGTTCTCAATCCTATAAGTCCATGTTAACAAACACCCGACCCGCCGCCTTAATCATGCTGGGTCAAGAAGACGTCAACTTTTTTCACGTCTGGATTCAGTCCAATTTTACTGGCCAGAGTTTTTTTTGGCTTTGACAGTGTCTGATCCTCAGGTAGATCCACAAAGATAGAGTGTTTGTGAGGACTCAGAGGAGAAGTGGAGTAAATGCTGCAACCTTTTATTTGAAATGATTTTTAGCTTTTCTTGCAGAGGCCAGTGAAGTAGAGAAATGTTTCTGATATCAACATTTTTTTTGGAAAATTTCAATCTGTTCAAATCAACTCAGAAAATGATCATTTGTTTAGTTTAGTTTGTTAAGAACAAAGGTTCACAGGTTTGAGAGTCAATCATATCAAATGGATTTCTCATTGTGGCTAATTTTAGAGCCAGAACCGTTAGCCTTTGGTTCTCCGTGCAAGTTAGTTACCACATTTATATGCTGGGTACATATTGTGGTAACTCCACACAATTTACATAAAACTTGATGTCCACAGTCTCGATCGAAATGTGTCACGCAACTAGATGCCGTTTGTTATCATAATCAAGTGTTTGGAGAATATAATGCTGATAGTTACTGTCCACGTTAGCAGTAGATTCACAAGTGAATACTAGACTCTAGCTTACTGTTAATCCTCCTCCTCCTTGTACCAGTACAGGAGTCACCTTTTCACCCTCTTTCCTGTGCAGAAGTTTAAGTTGGGTCGTGCTTCCTCTTGCCTTTTTAAATAGATGGAGACATGCTGTTCTGCAGCTTTTGTTGAGCAGGACTGACAGCGTCCTGGTCCGACGGTTTTCTCTTTAATTCTACACTTATTACTGAATGTGGTGTATTGTGTTTGGTCATGAAAAGTGAGAAACTCCTTGTGTAAGATGATCCCACTTCTTTCACATGTGGGCAATGATCAGATATTCATCTTCCTGTTTAAACTTAATGAAAAAATTGATATTCTCTGACAGTCCTAAATACCATGTTAATAATCTGTCAGTTAGAAATTGGGTTTAGTGATGGATGTAGGAAATAGTCAAAGCCAATCGCCACATTAAGATTTTCAGTGAAGTACAACCCTGGGATTTTAGATATCTTCTTAACAAGCTTCAGAAAAAGACTGTCTAAGCTACATTATCTTACTAACATGACAGAATTGTATCACGTATGTTAGGCTGGCAATTAGATATTCCCGACTTCACTACTTGATTCAATCTGGACCTCCAACCCCCATGGTTGCTTCCATAATCCCTTTTCTATTTGGGTAAGTGGAGCTCAGTAGTACAGTCCTATAAAGGGATTTGTGCAAATATGATTAAATTCTTGGAGTTGTACTAATAATAGGGTAACAGTCATCGCCGATTTGTGTTGGAGTTGGATCTAGATGCGAAAGTTGGCCGAACAAGCTTAAGAAAATGAAGAAGACCAGATATTTTCCTGCACCCCTGCACATTTACTTTTTCTGTGACGAATAAGAGCTGAGTAATCGTTGCTCCGTTTCTCAAGGTAACCCTCGTTTGTCGCTTTTCATGCTGTAGGTGGTAAGGAGTAGGTGGTGAGGTAAAGCAAAGCCCAGAAGGGGTTGAAAGAAGTTGAAACGTTGCTGTTTTCAAGGGGTGACTGTCTCTTGTGGCTGCAGCGAACATTGGGGAATGAATTACATGTTTTTCCTTTTTTTTTTCTGATTTCAAAGCAGCTTACTGTCAGTTCTGCCAAGCTGGGCCACAGCCAAGGAGAAAGCTTGTCTGAGCAAAAGCAACCATTCATGGTTTAAACAAACCGGTGGTGTAATCCAGAGCTCTGTTTTAAAGTGACCCAAAATTGGCTCTATCGAACAAGAGCCCACATCTGTCTGACTGTGAACTGTACACTGATTGAGTTTCCCTCCATAAAACCATAAATAATCATCGTCTCCAAGGTTATCTCAACAGTCAAAACATCACATTCAATCGCCAAGGGACTATTAAATAGATGTTAAAAGTTCATGTCTAGTAAATATACTACACCTATGAGAGTCATGTGCACCTTATACCACTTCACACAGTGACACTTCAAAATAGAGACGTAGCAAGCTCTCCTATGTCACAGGTCTGTTTATAGACGAGGAAAGAGGAGGCCAAGAACTGCTAATCCCATGATGGTGGCAATGAACTTGTAGGTCAGTCTGCTGCGGTGGTTCAACTGAGGGGACACTTGAAGAAACCTTGACCTGGCTCAGTCAAAGAAATAATTACAGTTTCCTTCTTACATATTTCTCATATCGGTCTTGTCTTCTTGTCTACTCAGGGGATATTTGTTACCCCCACTTCTGACATTGCTCACTACCCTCTGCAATCAGTCGCTTTGCCTCATTGACTGTAATCACCCCTCATCACTCTGGGATGGTATTTTTCCGTTCCTCCACTGTACTACTTGTTGCTGTGCACCTTGAGACGAACCCTCCAGTTTTCACGGAGTCCACTGCAGCACATAAAATACAATAAGAGTGAGGCTGACACATTCATCAATACATCTAAAGGCTCTCGTGCATCAACCCAACCACACATTATACTCACAATGCCACTTGAGGGGATGTCTGCCAGTGTCTTTGTTGGTTTTTGGCACATGGAAGAAAGGTTGCTGGGTGTGTCTGAAGAATAACATTGTGATAATATAATATACAATAATAATGATAATTTATGATAATACAATTTGCCTTGGTATCATTTTTAGGCTATATCGCCCACCACTAATGTGTATGGTATATTGTTATGAAATGGGAACTGTTTGGATAAATGAACACAATTAAAGATGGAGCCTGTGGCCACATCTGTGCACTGAGGGTCGGTCAGTTTAGAGTTTCTTAAAGGGGGTAACATCTGTGAGGGTTGAAACAACAGGAAAAGAAATGGACGAGTTTGTAGTATGACATTTTTACATAAACTGAATTTTGCATGGACTTTTCAATCACAGACGTATTATAATTGATGTATAAACTACTATTTCATCAGCATACACAAATTAAGCTGTTGTACAGGAAACTGGGAAGGTACTTGTTTAAACCGAAAAAAGAAAAATGGGCTTGAGGATGAGCCTTGTGGGACTCCTTCCTCATTGATCATTTCTCCACTGAGACTAATAGACTGGCATCTAATGTAAGGGGATGAGTTGCACCAAATTTGAATGTTTTTAAGACCCCAATAGAATAAAGTTTTTCCAGTAGAAGATGGTGGTCTACTAAGCGAAGGCTTTGGCCAAATCAAGGAAGATTGCATAGTAAGTTCTCAAAGCAGTGAACATGTGAGTTTTAATAGTTTTGATAAAGCCGAGGTAGATTAGGTCAAACACCAGACTTGCATGGCGATCTGCTCAATCAGTTAAAGGAAGTGAAAGTTGAGTAAAATATTGGGAAAATTTATTAATGATATCCTTCCGCATGGCAAGGGTTTGAAAACAGCAAAGTTAATTTGATTTATTCATTAAATGTTGATTACTCAAATAAAGAAGTTAAGACATCCTAGGGTGGTCAGTGATTAATTCAAAAATTTGATGTCGAGTCCAAATCTGACTTACAAATACACCTGCAGGGGTCCCAGGACTGTTAAGGGAGTTTTAATTATGTGTTTTTTGTGTTATTTCAATGTCTTTTGTGTAAATAATGCATTATATTAGTTCATCTTAACCTGTCTTTGCCTGTTTCCATCATCTGGTGAACTTTAATGTCTTCGCTCTGTGACATAGACAGCAAAAAAAATTAACACCCCAGCCCGGCCTGTACTGTATGCATGTTATGTTTAAAAGTGAAGGCCTTTGTGTGTCCAGAACGAATCAGTTAGGATGCTCCTCTCACAGTGAAAACCAATGCTGCTTCAGAAGGCATTAGCATTAAATATACACAGTAAGTGCCCATATGATAAACCAGAGATGATTGCTTGCAGTCATACCATCTGTACTTTTGCACAGCTGTTCTTTTAGCTTTATGCTAATATCAGCATGCCAACGTGCTCGTGAAAACAATGCCAACATGTGATGTTCAGCATGCATAATCTGTAACATAATCACCATTTTGTTCAGCATGTTAGCATGAAAACATTTGCTTGTAAGCACAGTCACGCAGAGTTAGCCCCGGCCTCTTAGCCTGGAGGGGGTTGAGGATTATCAGAGTTGCAATAATTCACCCTGAAAGGAAACATGAATGTCTGTGCCAAATTCCATCAGTGTCCATCCCATCTCTGTCAAGACAGTCAAAATGACATACTTCCATCTCCTGAAAGAAAGTCATTAAAGTGTCATGATCTTAAAGAGTAATCATGGCCATCAATCCAGACCGTGCGATGAATCACTGTTCATCAGCGCCATCAGTGCTCAAACATTTCACATGATGTTGCTGTGTTTGTGTGTCTCTTTCTCAGACTGGTGTCCTCCATCCATGCCATCATGGCGACCACGGCAGGAGTCATCGTTGTCTCGTCATGCCGAGGAAACATCATTAACGACAGGTTAGGCTCCATGTCATCGGTCACATTCATTAAACGGAGGTTATGAGTTATAACTGCCGATTTTTTCCCTTCAATCATTTTATGATCTACCTGGAGGATTTGGTCTCTCTTTCACGCTGACGTTGGACGTGCAAAAGAGACAACATCCAGTAAAGTTTGGGAAGTCGTAGATAGTTCCAGCACGTGCAAACAATCCTAATCCATTACTCTTTAATCTGACATTTCATTTTACTGCTACCTTTGCAAAAACACAGCATATTTGTTTAGCTTCTACACAATTTTTTTGTTTTTTTTCTTGCAAAGAGTTATCTGTTTCACTAAATGTGTTTTTCGTTCAAAGTATAACCCCATATTCACCTCAAGGACAGTCCTGTCTGTTATCCAAACCCTACATCCACATCAAAGAAAAAGGAGCAAGCTCGTGTTAGCCTACCTTTAGGAAACTGTATGCTAAGCTAATGCTAGCCCTTTAATCCTCACTGAGTCAATGGCCAGTCCAGGAAAGGCCCAGTTTGAGGCTGCTAATCTCTGCCACCCCTCCCCTCCACCCACAGGGCTTAATATCTCCACCACACTGCTCAGTTCTGCTGTCCTGTGACGTGCACAAGGCCGTCAGCTTATCAAACACATGTTCCACAAACTCAGACCCATGAATACTCCAATACTCCATCACAATCTGTCCCTTCATTCAGCCCCCATAGTCTCAGCTGTAAGAGATTTTGCATGGTTTTGCAGCCCAAATTGCACAGCTTAGAAAACTCGGCCCCAACAATATGTTTGGGTACTGTTCTCCTTTTAAGCACACTGTATTTTTAAAAACACTCAGTGAGGTAACACGTGAGATAATTACATAAGATGTTGCTGGCATTGAATTTAAAATGCCAATGCCCAAGCAGGCGCACACTTAAACGTTTGATTTTGTAGAAAAAAAGGGCGGTTCATTTTTTACAAATCTTAGTGCATCACAATGCCCTCTGTGTGCACACATTACCATAATCAAATACAGGTAAAAAGCAAGCAAGGAAGGAAACATCAAATAGGATTTTGCATTCTCTTAATGTTCAGGGATTTAACTGATGTGTTAAGTGACCTGCCATAACTTGTAAAAATAAGTATTGACTAGCATGAAGCAAGATTACATCTATTGTATCCTAAAATACAGTACAGTAGAGCTGCTGTAAATAGCCATAATAAGAGGTGGTTGATTTTCTTGCTTTAGTAGTCTAAATAGTTAAAGTGAAGCTCGGAGGAGGCGTGGAGGGTTGTTTGTTGATATATTTAAATCCGGATGCCTGAAGTGTTTCACCTGTATTTTCCGTTGCAAATATATTCACTGCAGCATTGACTCATGTTTCCTCCATCCTCCTCCGGGCAGTTTGTTGTCTTACTGCTCGTAACCTCCACTCACTGACCTTAAGAGCTGAGTATCTCAGTGAGAGGTCAGAGGTCAGTAGTCCAGCTCTGCCCCGCAGCTTTACTCTCTTCTGTCCACATAATTAACCATCACTGTAAACGCTGCTCATTAGAGCGCTGGAGCTGTCCGAGCTGTTTGTTCTTCAGTACTTACATAAGCCTACCTTGAAGTCTCTGCATGCTGAAGTTAGAGAAGGAGAGGCGTGACAGGGAAATGAGTTTCAGTGTAACCGATGTTAAAGGGTTATTCTGGCGGAAGTTTAAGCCAATGCTTCTCTAGTTCCACCACTTCAGCAAAGAGCGCACGATAGCAATACACAGCGGTCTATGTCGCCACGCTCAAACCGCAACGTAAAAGCCACTCATAGCCACAAATAATGCTCAGAAAAGCACCTCACTTTACCAACTGTACATATAGGGTCCAGGCACGTAAGAGAGACCAAAGAGACCAAACAAAACTCACCCACTCTCCTCCAGCAGCCGCTTGTTTGTGGGGGAGCCCTGACGAGTCGATCAGCAAGTGCAGCGGAGTTCCGCAGCTCAAGGAAGAACATTTATGGTTATTACTTAATGGAAATGCAATCAGACCGAAATGCTAAGGCAGAGGAACTACTGCGTCTGCAGTGCACATTCAAGATACACAAGGAATCTGATTGCAATAGTGTCATTATATCAAATTTCCCTGGCCACATCAAAGTCACTTTATTAAAATGTATGTTTGTATTTGGGTTGTTATCATGAAAGGAAAATGATCTGCAAATGCGAAATGCAACTGTAGCAAATATGCTTACCCTGTTTTTTAAGATGTACACATTGTATCTATTAAAAAAAAACACCTTCAGCATTTTGTCCAGTTTACAGTCTATAATTCTCTGTTAATCTCTTGTTGTGTTGTCTGTCACACATTCACCAAAAGCTTGAAACACTAGACATCATCACCACTTTTAATATGCAGAAAATGAGACAGAAGCTGTAATTTAGCTGAGGACTGCTGCATAGTTCATTAACATATTTTTTGTTTGTGATTATTTCCCAGACACTGGTTGGCCACCTACTTTGTCATCTGGTACGGCGTGCCCTATATGACGTATGACATCTTTGCCATGTACCTCAGTCACTTCTACCGCTTTAGGGTCAAAGGGCACGAGGACTACAAGCAGCATTCACTGAGGACCATCAACTCCTTCATCCGTAAAGAGTTCTTGCTGGTGTTGCATCACATCGCCTTGCTCACCATCCTGCTGCCCATCACGCTGGTAAGGAGGGGCGTTCGAGTCCTGCTGCTAAAACTATTAGCATCATGGTCTCCTACTCTAAAGGATTACTGTTTGTTTTCTGCACATGCCATGGATCTAATCCGGTTGTTAAATGTTGGGAAAGGAGAGTTTGCAGTGTGGTTTGTGTTATAGTTTCTATCAAAACTGCAATGCATGATCAACAAATAGAGCAATCACAACATTCATGTGCAGGCCAGATGCATAATTGTTCATTCAGAACCAGAGGTGATGATGATGTTTGCGCTGCACTGTGTTTTATTTGTGTTAAATGTCTGCAAACTAAACCATCAGTTTCTGAATCTCCTGAAACCAAACCGAATAAATAATTCATGTCGGTGTTAATAAAAACTGATCAGTAATTGTTACCATGCAACATGCCACAAAAACACTCGGAGAAAATACAAATGTCATTTACATCTTTTAAGACGGACTTAGACCATCGAAAGAAACATATCGAAGTGCTCGCTGGTTCAACAATAAGTATTTGAAAACCCTGGAAATTAGGGCAAAAGAGCTGCTCCTGTGAATTTATTAAACTTCCAGGAACAAGAAATCTGACTATCACACTGAAGTATGCAGCAAGGTTTTCTCAGAGCATGCACAGTTATGCCCGCTTGAATGATTTCCTCTGATGTAGGTAAAAAAAAAGTCTGGACCTGTGCTGGGGTTCAGCAACTGTGTGTAAGTTCTCTCCTCAGGAGTCTTAGTGTGTAACCAGATAACCTTCTTAAACTAAAGGCACCAAGATTACCACGTCCTGTTTACAATCATACCTAAAGAAAGTCACCAACTGCAGTTAAAGGATCAAACTTCCTGAGCAGGGACTTTGGTGGCTAGTGGAACCTCTTAGCATATGTAAGCAAGATTGATACTGAAGAATCATATCAATCAATTAGATCCTAACTGGATTACTGTGCAGCAAAACAACATGCAGCTAATTAAATATGGTGCAGTCTTATGGAAAACTGCTGTTTTACAAGCTGTCAGTGTAGCTCCGGGACATGTTATGATTTACACCTACGTACTTCAGTGACATGTGCAACTGTTGGGCTGTGACTTAAGAGTTATGCAGAGCTGCTGGAATCACAACCTGGTTGTAACTGGCATTGTAAGTAGGCTGAGTTTTAACTTGACCCTCCGAGAGTTGCGTTCAAGGTCAGAAAAACAACAGCCTTCATTTCTTGCTTATATCAGCGCAGCGGTGGGTCAGAACAAGATCTCAGATTTATGCAAAAAAGGGGAAAACTTGGCCTTCCTTTGATTCAAAAGAAGAAAAATGTGCTTTTCTCCCAGGGAGTAAATAGCAGGAAAGGACAGCCCATGATAAGAAAGCAATTATTGATTACCTTCTGTGACCAGAGTGTTACAAATTACTCTTCAATGATTTGCTGACATGCTCTTGAATTGAAGGTTTTTTGCATCAAAAGAAGAGAGGAAGGACACGAGATGAAAGGGGCATACTGTTTTCTGCTGAGATATGGTGACAAGTCGAGAGAATGGGCAATAATATCAAACAATGTAGCGTCATTACTCGGATAAAGGGCTTGAGTTAGCACACAATCTGCTGGGAACGCAAGCAAGGGAAAAGGATGAGGTATTAATATAAGAGTGGAGGTACTGTGGAGCACGATGTCTTTCAGTGAAAGTGTGACCGACAAATTGAAAACTCACTGAACTGTTAAACTAGAGTTCACCATGAACAAGGTCTGAGCAGTGAAGTGAGCTTATCACAGAGTCAGAGAGGAGTTTCTTAAGGTGTTCTTTGTTCTGATTAATAACATTTGTGAGGATTTACCCCGAGGCTTTTTCTCTGAAGAATTATCACACGCTTATATTAAGACGATCAAAAACTCTGACTTTAATCTGCAGATCGAGAATTTATGTCCCAAAGAGATTACAGAGGCATAAAACACAGACAGCCCTCTCTTTATGAAGTCTGTCTCAGGTCAGTCAGCCAGGTGCAGTTGAAACCCGGCCTTTGTGTTTGCAGTAGCAGTCAGTTGCAATAAGAGATCACATTACCCTACATTATTCAGCCCCAGCTGTAGCTGACCTCTCTTTTCTCTCAGCCCTCCACCCCTTCCTCTGATCCTCCTCTTGTTCCCTCACTCATCAGCTTTATTAGAGTCTGGCTTACCTGGCTATCACATGAGCAGGTAGAGTTAGCCTGCAAGGACAATAGTCAGGTTTCAAGGAAGGAAGCGGGGGAGTTTGTTTTTGTTTTTTTGTTTGAGAATTCACACAGAGATACAGGATAGGATTGTCGGCTGACAGATGGCCGTCAACCAATAGGTCTGGTCCTGCCCCAGGTTTCTGCCTGTAAAAATGGAACTCTTCCTTCCCTTAAGTTCATGACAAAATTGCAGGTTACTCCAGGTTTCTACAGCAGAACAACATTCATATATCTTTGAGCGAGGTTTCTGTCATCTGGGACTGCAAAATAACATACCCTTAGCTTCCAATCTGTTGTAGTTTCTAACAAACACCGATTTACATAATGTAAAGCAGTAAGTAACCTGATCTTATTGTCATGATAACTCACTTTCATATCCCGATTAGGTCATTATTACATTTTTATTGCCTCCACTGACTATTTTACATGTTGAAAATGCATGTTATTTGCATGCAGGCTATTGTTTTTCTTAGAAAATTTAACTACGTACTTAGACACATGCAAAGTTTTAGATTCTTATCACTCCAAATACACCTTTAATTCTCTGGTGACAGCTAAACTATGATACTGACTGGTGCCATTAATCATGCACACCTCTTTTTTTATCATTCACTGCAAACTTGATGAGTAAACAAGTATTAAATATCAATTTCAGAGGATCAATATGTGCAGAGTAAAGCTTATACCATGCCCAATGCATTGTCTTGAATCTGAAGCCCAAAGGTAAAACAGCCCTGGCAGGTGGGAGCCAGCTAGTTTGTTAGGCACGGTGTTAAGTTCCTCTTTGCGGTCGGAGTCATTGTTTTACTGGCAGATGGCAAAGCCACGTCTGGAGCCACTCATCCTTTATTCATTACGAACACACAGTGAGCCAGGCCAAGAAGACAGCGCCATACTTCAATGTGGAGTCTCTTTATCCATGCAGGCTGACTCACCTATTCTAGGATGGTCCCTCTCACTGTACAGCGCTGGGCCACTGGTCAATATTTGAAAGCTTCATTCATAACTTATGAACAGGGCATCACTCCATGTTGGTCTACAGGCTGGTCTATGCCGCCACATTAAAGTTAGGTGGTTGAGAAAGACGGCTGCTGTTGAAGTTGTGGTCAGAGTCGACGAAAACGTACAAAATAATGAAAACTAATTTGTAAGAAATGTTTTTGTCATCCAAAATTTAAAAAAAGGACGAACCAGCGTGTAAACATTGGCGTTAGCATTAGGAGTTTCAAATCTAAATAATTTTTTCACCTCCATTAGGGTGGCCCGCCCCTCAGTATGACATGACAACAACTTTATTATTATTTTTTGTTTCTGTGAGGTTGGATGGAGTCATTTTAAGGTAAAATAAGCAAGCTGAGTTTCACTTTCCCTTGGAGTCTCCCTCACCTTTAGATGCTGTTGGTGTTGGAAACATCTGTAATAGCTCCCCATAGTGGATTTTAAATTCAGCCATACGGAGGCAATTAAGCAATTCTAGTGGACAAATTTAACGGCACACTAGTTTAAAACAATCTCAGAGGTGACATAGACTTCGATTTGATTCTCATCTTAGGTTGTCCAAAAAGATCAACAAATGTACTTTCAATACCTGATAATGTCCCAGGCCTTTCTGATCAAATTTCCAGTGAGATTTTTCCACGTACTGTCTTTAAGTTTCAGCTGTTTGCGTTTCTTCCACGGTCATCTGTGTTTGCTCATTCTGTTTGTCTTTTCCACAGTTCTTCAGAAGGGACCAGGGAGATTTCTTCATCGGCTGCTTGTTTTTAACCGAGCTCAGCACGCCCTTCGTGTCCCTGGGGAAAATACTTATACAGGTGAGGCAGCACGTACACAGGTGCATTCACCAGACACCAGTAACTGGGAATTCATGCAGCTGCTACGGACTGTTTGCTGTTTATCTTGGAGTCTGAGCTCCAGAGCCATTGACTCTGGGTCAAGTAGATATTTAAAGATTGGCTGCTACAATGGGTCAGACAGTTTGAGTACTGTAGAGGCAGGTTTTTGTTAATCAAGATTAAGATTGCCCAATGGAGTTAAGCAAACTCTACTAGGCACAAAAGGCCCAATAAGCTCAGATTTTCTCCATGTGCCATAACAGTGTCTAACTGGAGCAGTAATTTAAGCTTGTAAGGAGTTTTGATACAGACTTCATCTAATATTGTAGCCCTTTATAAGCTTCAGAAACAAACAAGATGATTAACTCAAGGATTGGTTGTTCCTGTATTGGTAAAGAAAGTCTATTAAAATTAATGAAAAGGTCAAACTTGGTTATTTTACATCAGCCTCTCCATTGATTACACAACCTTACTTTTCACTTGGCATGTGGAGGTGACTTCACTTGGCATTGTGATTCTGGTTCTTTTCACAATCTCCCATTTTGGGTTGAATAAAGGAAAAGCCATCCATCAATTTATGCATCCACTTATCCTCCATCCACCCATTCTTTTTTTCATTCATCCATTTACCCATATACCTACCCCTTTCATCCATCCATCCAACCTCCATCCAGTGCTCCAAACACCTGTGGATCTGACCCCTTATCCATCTGCCAATCAGGTCACAATCCATCCATATATACACCCATCCAACCATCCAGCATCCATCCTTTTTCTATCCATCCAGCTACCTACCTTTACATCCACCCATCTGACCACCCATCCATCCATCCATCCATCCATCCATCCATCCATCCATCCATCCATCCATCCATTTATCTGACTGTCATCCCAACCATGAATCTATCAATCCAGCCATCCACCCATCCATTTGAATACACCCATTTATCTGATCACCATCTACTGGACCACAAATCTAACTGCCAATCAAATCATTATCCATCCATCTATTAATCACCACCTACATTGCCCAACTATTAATCCATCTATTTTGCTCCCATCCATCTGATTACTTATAAAGCACATCCAACCGATTACCCATCCATATATTCATCTCTACATTAACCATCCATCCATCCATCCATTTACCCTGTAATATGACTTTGCCTTGAACACCTATATTAGCACACTGTAGCTTGGGTTGATTTGTCACCTTTCTTAGCATTATGGTTGTAAGAGTCATATCCCTGAATCAAAAGCCTCTATGTAATTATTCTTACCACTTTTGGCCTATTGTTCCAATTACCAACATCTCTGCTTAGAGGTCTTTAATGGGAGGCCTAAAAATTGACCTTTCAGAAAGTTAGGTAAAAAAGTATGTGACCCAGTAAGACTTAAGAGGAGTAAATCTTCGATTAGCTTTTACTGTTTGGGAAAAATATGTTTAATTCAGTCATAATTCTGAAAGGATCTTATGTCTTGCTTACTAGCCTACTTCCTACAGTGTCAATGGGGTATTGCTTTCAAGGCCAAAGATCATACTTTAACCATATTACTTTAATGGGACGGCCTGTAAACTGAGACCTGATCCTCTGTGCAGTATATCCAAATGCAGTGCAGGCTAGCCCTGGATGCTAATGTGCTGCATCCTCGATGCTAGGGGAACGCGGAAGTGCCCACAGTGTGAGTCTGGAAAGGCTTCATTCTGTAATGATGTACAGAATAAACAGGTACAACGGATGCTGCCATCCAGACAATGCCTCTTTTAGAGAAGACTCTGTATATCTGAGTAAGACTTTACCAAACCACAACAACAGGAGTGCAAATAATGTAAACGCACAAGGCTTTTGAAACCATATTTACACATACTGTGCATCAGTGATATGAATCTAAGCCTCCTAGCATCATGCTATGACTCTCTGCCAGGGCTGAAGAAAATCATTCATCCTTGTTATGGTGCATTTCCTGCTTGGGTCATGTGCTTCTCCTTGCGTCATCAGAAACCAGAGTATCTGCATTTGGTTTGAGATGCTGCTTATGTCACTGTGCCATCAATAATGAAAGAGCACGGCTCACCAAAAAGAAGATACTCGTCAGTTTAAAGCGTCCAGCTCGAAGGCTGCGATGTATTCACTGTCCCTGGCTCTGAGCCAATCCATTTATCTATCCCCATCCTGGGAATTACATCCTACATATGAGCTGCACAGTCGGAGGCTGTTTGTCGCAGAAAAGCTGTAATCTAAGAATAGAAGAAGGAGCTCTCTCTGTGTGCCTCTCAGTCAAATCAGTGGACTGTGGACTCGTAGGTCTGTGCTGACATCTGGTGTCAGCACAGAAAAAGCAAAGCACAGCTCCACTTCACCTCTCTGGGTGTTTAAACGCTGCCCTCCTTTGGACTGCATCAGCACTCACAGAAACTGCAAGACGTTTAACTGCTCTTAACAGCAGAACTGTTTCCTACTGACTTCTGTTTTTCTTGGACCTGGGCCTCCTACAGATTTTTGTTTTTACTTAAGAAGTATGCAGAATTTCATAAAAAGGATCAAATGAAGCTGTCATTTTACAGTAAGTACAATAGAATAAAGTGGATGGGTTCAGTTGCAAGAGGGATTTGATTAAATCCCATTGAGCGGATTGGATCAGTCTGTGGCCCGAGACCAAGATGTTGTTAAACTGGAAACAGATTTGTTTTGTTTGCGTTTTTAGTTTTTTAGAAATGAAGATTAATTCTTTGAAAAAGCTAATTAATATTTTACAGACAAAGCTCTAAACTGTTGCGACCAATTTATGTGTCACTGTGCCGTTTAAGATTGTGGGATTGCAGAAATGCTATTTGTCTGAAATCCCATTTGATTGGATAAAAGAGATTTCAATTCCTCAAGGTCATTACGTGTCACAAGAATACTATAAGGTTTTAAAAGGAGAGAAAGAAGAATTTATCTTTATTTCACAGAGGCAACCCAACAGGATTGAACGTTAAAAGGAGAGTGCTTTTTATTTAACTGTTTTTAAAAGTACGTCTCAAAAATCTCCATTCTTCCCCGCCCCCCCTTTTTTCCTTTCCCCTCACCAGCTCAGCCTCCAGGACTGCTGGCTACACAAGGCCAATGGCGGCATGGTGTTGCTCACCTTCTTCGTGTGCCGCATCGCCCTCTTCCCCTACATGTACTGGGTGTACGGCCAACACTACGGCATCCCGCTCTACAGCGTCCCCTTTCACCTGCCGCTGACCGCCAACTTGGGCAACTCGTGCATCCTGGCGCCGCAGGTCTACTGGTTCGTCCTGCTCTGTCGAAAGGGCTACCGTCTTTACAAACGCAGTCGCAGTCAAGACTCGTCTCCTACGGCTACTATTACTGACAATGCAAAGGAGGATTGATGTCCAGTCCACGACTGCTCGCTCAAGCCACACACTCATCTACTAATTCAACTACTTTTGCAAATGGCACTACTTTGACTTAACACATTTGAAACCCATCCACTGTACTGTAGTACACCAGGACTGCCTGCTATGTCCCACGACTCCTGGGCATTTTCCACACACTTCAACTCCTCTCTGACAAATGTGCTGCTAAAGTGGACCTCTCCTTGGATACAGTTCTACTACTGAAGTTTTCAGATTTTTTTTTCTGGATTTAGCTTTTTCCTGGATCTTTTTTGAAGTGCTAGTGCATCTGAAAACATTTGCGACACTGATGAAGAGTCCTTTTTGCTTCTCGGAGAGTAAATTTGGATTAAAAGCTGCAGAAACTGAAGAAAAACCTTGTAGGAGGGACTATATCTTATCTCTTACTCCTACTGTGTTTACAGCCTCTGCTGATTCTGAAAGGTCTGTTACAGCATGAGGGTGTGAGCAGCGGATATGACAGGTTGTTTTTATTGTTTATGGATTTGCTGATATCTGTCTGATAGCTGCGTTTCCTCCCCCCATCCATTCACCAATCACGCAGACAAAAAGGATCGTAAGTGGATGGGTTGGATGCAAGTTCAGGCAGTATTAGCTGAAAGAGTGCTGAATATTACATGACCCCTCATCCACATTTAAAAGCTAAAAAAAAAAGCTGCATTTTCTTACACCTTAATAATGTGATACATTCTGACTCCTTACCTCTGTTTATTTTGGTTGTAGCTCTCACGTCAGTTTGCAAATCTGGGAGGGAGAATAATCTCCTTTCTGTGACATTTTACACGTTTACCGCCCTGGTTCATTTGTTTCCCCTGGCTAAATTGTTAGCAGAGAAGACTAACTTTCTTTGCAGGTGTTGATACGGCACATAAATTCAAGTTTAAGCAAAGTCACAGAATTTTGTTTAGCAGCATCTTTGCATGTTGATGGCACCAACATATAATTGTGGTAACTTTTTTTTTTTTGGTCATTTGCAAGGAAGTCCATGCTGGATTTATTTTAATGTAAGGTTCAAAATGCAAAGTTTAGTCAAGATTATAAAGAAATTTATTATTAAAAATGAAATGCAAACCAGACCTATTCAGAGTCTAAAGAATAATAATATTAATGAAACAAAGCCATGGTAGGATGACATATCTGATGTTTGGAGTGAGGATTTGCAGACTCCAGCACTGGAATTTCAGCTGCACCTGTTTTATTTGCACATGTGAGGGTTTATATCTATTTTTACAAAGCAGAGAGTACCCTAAGTTTGTTGCTACTTAAAGTATCATCTTTTAATGCCTAGATCTCTGGTTGAGGACACACCGGAGCATTGCAGCTGCAACGCTTTAGCTAAAGTAGGGCAGCTTTGGATAGCACCGTCTTTGAGAGTAAATTACGGTCACGCATGGAGAATGTTGAGGGTTTGTTCTACCTGGAGTAGGCCAACCAGAGGAGGAGACGGGGACGTGTGGATTTAAAGCCTAATTTGAGATAAACTCAGGGCTAAGGTCAGAGCAATAAGGTGAGCAGCAACTCACCGGGTCAAACTTCTCCAGATGAGTGAGATTTCTGAGCCTCAAAATCTAAATTTTATCAGGAGTGATTGAACCTGAAACGAATCAATATCAAGTCATCAGTTTAGTTTCCGGGAGGCTCGAGAGATTTCTATGCACTTGTAGTGTTTTAGCTTTTGCATTGAGCACTTCACACAGGGCTGTAAATACATCCTCATGTTCTAGACTCATCACTAGAGTATCAGTTTTAAATGTATATCTAATCATGGTAGTTAGACCTGAGAGGACCATTTTTTATCTGTTTTGTTGGATTCACAGTTGCATTAAGACATTTATCTTAAAATCCTCTTTGAGAAACGCTCCTTCGCTTTTGATCTTAAGAGTTGAATTTCTTCATATCAAAGACTGAATAGAACATAATGTTGCCGCAGGGTTAGTTTCACACTCAGTCTACATCCTGAGGTTTATTTATCTCCTTGGATAATGTTGGGTATAAACTTTATAGTCTATTTATGGATGGCCTTTTTTTGCCCTGCAAATTTAATCTATGCAAAAGAAAAAACAAGAAAAAAACAAAACAAAACAAAAACTAACAGGTTGTGGTGCATGTATACAACACTAATGTCACCTCATACCACATTAGTACACTTTGTTCTGTTCTTACATTTTGGGACCATTCATTTCCTTTACTCTACATTTCTACTGGGACTCCAAACCTCAAATTTACGGTCTTACTTTCCTCTAATTTACTCAAAATCTAAATTCTTAGCTTGTCTTTTAAAAATACCTCACCAAAGTTTTCACGAGCTTAAGACGAAGTGATGCTTGAAACACATAAATACGGATCCTTTCCACAATTTTTGTAGCATGAAATGAAAATTTGACTGCTGCGGTTCTGTTTGAGAATTCCTCCACTCCTAAGCTTAAATTAAAGGAGACCTGATTTCTACCTTAAATTATGTCAGTCTATGAAAGCGCAGCCTGACTCCAGGTTCAGGCCAAGTTACACACAGTTATCAGTTGTAACATTATGTATATGTTTGCATTCAAAAACAGATAAGCATAAAAGGTCTCCTTTAATCTTTTTCTAAATATGTCTGATATTTCTGACAAGAAAAGTCTAAATCAGTAGGAATGTATCAAACCCGAACTAACCCCCATCTTCAGTGCAGAATTGACACAGCTGTGTAGTTTTGTTGTGATAGTTACGAAGCTGTAATCCAGCTTTTTGGATTACGAATCCAAGATCTACAACAAAACTGGCAGTTTTTACTTCACCGCTTACTCTGATTTCTCTTACTGTCCATCTGAGCTTGTGTATCCTTTGCAGGAGTGTGAATCTAGTATCAGTTGTGGAATCAATGATCTTCTTTACCATCACCATATGATCCTGGTTTTGATCTGGTTCAGGCTATTATGCAGGTTAATCGTATCCCTGTATACATACATTGTAGTTTCCATTTTCTGGATTAAAACTGATCATCCAGACAGCTAGATAAGGTGTTTACATGTCACAGTGTCCTGGACTCTGGGATTTCAGAGGTCTGTTCATAACTAGGATTATTGTGTGCATGTAAAGCACTCACAGTTTACCTACAGTTAAAAAAATACATATAATCTTTCAAACAGTGGGTCAAACCAGACAATTAACACAGTCGCAGAGTTGAACTAAATAAGAATGACTGTTTTTCTTTCCCCTAAGGTGCGTAAACAGCTTTAAGAGGCAAAAACAAACAAACAAACAAACAAACAAACAAAAAAACAGTTTGTCCTTTAAAATGTGAAAGGCTCTTTTGGTCACTACTATTTCCTAAAAGAAGTCAAACACTTCAACCTCTGGCATCAAACAGTCCTGATGAGGAATGTGATCTTGCTGGTGGACAGACAGGCTGTTTGCTGACTGGCAGTGTGAGGATGAGGCAGTAAGAAGAGCTGAGCAGCTGAATGATGAGATTGTTTGTCTGGTTTGGCCGGAGTCCAGGAGAGTGCAGGCCTCTTTTTGTCCAGTGCTGACCGGCTTCTCTTACTGGAAACATCCCAGGCTCTTTGTTTTGCTTTATGGGCCTATCTATCCTGCTGTTTTCTTTTTCACCATCCTGTTCTCGCTCAGCATTTTATAGCAACTCGTCTCCTTATTCTCTATAGGGGGATTCTCGCTAAAACAAAAGAACCACCAAGAATACATCTATGACGTAGCCTCGGTTCATTTATTTGTTTGATACTGTATTTATTGATTTTGTTCTTTAATCAAAAGCTTGTGAACCTCGAAACACTGCAGTCGAATCCAACATTTGTCACTTGAATCAAACAGTTCTAAGATGATAAAAAGCTGAAGGTCAGTCACACTTTTATCTCCCATCATTCCTGCTCATGCTCTTCTTTTTTAACCCCTCTCAGTCTCTTTGCTGATGTACTCTGCAGTGTTGCAAAGCTGCCTTGAGTGTACTCAGAGAGATCCCTCGTCTCTCTGCTGCCATCTGCTGGCAGTGTATAGTCAGGGATAAGATCCTCTTTCAACTGCATACTTCATATGTTGTCTGCTGCCTGTTTAAATTAATGGTTGGTCTGCAAAATGATCTAAATCAGAGAGTAATATCATCTGAAATCTGATTTAAAGATTACTATCACTCTTTTTTAGCTTTGAGGTTCTTTTGAAGGAGCATTTATAATTAATTTCCCCAATGAAGTAATTTATAAGATGGATTGATGGCAAAGTAATGAAGATTGAGGTTCGGATTCGTGGACCAGTTAGCTGGTTTTGCGGTTCTTAAAGTTAGCTTCGTATTCGTTGTGTTAAAATGGAAAAAAAAAAAACATTCCACATCTCTTCCTTGGGCTTATCCCGTCATACTTATCCAGTTTTAAGGAGCTGTCTGGTTGACACAAACAGAAAAGGTTTATGGTTGGAAGAATGTATGTCCAACACTCAAATGTGATTTTTGTGTATCGGCTAAAAAAGCGTCCCATCTTCAGACCAAACATTGCTGAAGACTCCCTGAGTGGAGGTGCCCACCTGAATTTAAGGGCCGTTTATGTGTTAGCCTTTGCAGGGCCCTGACTTACTGCAAGCCAGTCCACAAATATTAAAAAATTACACCAAATACCTGGAAATGGAGGACTGTTTCCTGGTTTTTGGAGTTGGGAATGAGCTGTGCTAACACCATGCTCAAGATTTGTTATTGCTTGGTTTGGTCCATTTTTAGGAAGCCTCACTGAAGCCTCTTCAAAGGTTTACAGAGGTTTTATCATTGGCTTTAGTGTCTAACCACTCACTAAACATTTGGTCTGTCAAGCATCTCTTGTGTTGAGAGCGCCCTCTGTGGAGTGGAGGCTAAAGCAATCTTTCTGTATGGTATCAATTTACATATTACAAAATCTCCAAGAGCTCCTCTAGAAAAAATAAAAACCCAAACAAAATAGTTTCTACTGTCTAAAAAAGGATTTCCATAAATAGGATTTAACAAATAAGGCTGTCAGATTACATGGTCCAATCTAAATTGGCTCAGAGCATAGCCAAACTGACCTGACCGGATCTAAAACCTGAGAATCTCTCAGTAAGAGTTGTAAAAGGTTGAAGACATGCAGAGCACACACTTCTTACCTTTTAAATCTTCGTCGTTTGATCATTTCTTCAAGTAGAAAGTCTTACACTCATCCTCTTCACTCAGGGTTTGATGAAGTTTGATGAAGCTGTTATTGTATGATGAAACTGTGAGGCTGGTTTGAAGGATGGTATCCAGTGTGGTGTGCTGATGCATTTCTGTGGGCTATTTTTTAAAAGCATTAATGTTGATACTTCCACATCCAAGGGTTGGTAAACCAAAGATTGTCCTGAGTCTGCAGTGATCTGAAGAGAGATCTGTTTAGTTTTTGATGTTTTCTGTCATGCTCTGGATGCCGTAATCCTCTTTGTCTTCATCCTAGAGGTGGATAGTTTGTTGGGTTTGTGATCGACTGAAAAGTACAGATTGAACTGCTGTATGTTTTAATTTACGCTAACACGCACACTAATGAAAGCGCTCTGTTGTACAGTGCAGGGAAACATTACTCTGTATCTCCAGCACATATTGTGAAAGTAGCCTACATGGTGACTGAACAGATAAACTTTACATGTTAATACATTTCAAAACACTTATCTGAGATTGAAAAAGATTGACTGTTTTTCTTGAACTTGTGTGTGAGGAGAGAATTGAACTGTGACCTTTGTTAAATGTAAACATGGATTCGAACATTTGCGCGTGAACAGTCTGCCCCATGCTAGCACAGGCTCGGGAAGGTCATGCTAACGCTTAATCTTACATTGCTGAGTCATGTCAAGCCCTGGGCTAACACTTGATATACTCTGCGTTGATCGGTGACTCTTTTGACTCGTTTTCTCTTGAATTTCCAATATTATGACCACCATCAATTGGCTTCCATTTCCACTTTAAGAATCAATGGGTGACGCTTGATGCCAAACAAACTGTACATCATACGGCTGCAGATTTGATGCTAATAACTCAAGTGCTAGCAAGACCTATGCTACTGGTTAGTTTTGAGTAGTTCAAGCCAACACCTTGACAGAGGGCAACCACGGCAAATGTTTGCGTCCATGTTCCCATTGTCCGTGAGGGTGAATCGGGGGATGTGTGTTTTTATTTTGAAAGTATTTTACCTCAAAAGTGAAACAAAAATTGAACTTACTGATGTGCTAATGATGTGAAGCCAACATATGGATTGAAGAGATGTGAATGGAAATAGTGACTTGCATTGGGGAACTTTTCTGCACCTCATATCACTTTTTTTGTGATTCTGCTGCTTCACATGTAACATTCAGGGTTGGTCCAGCTGTCTTGGTCAGTGTGGGACGGGATAAAGATTTGAAGTTTGAACTGATTTGAAGCAATTTAATGTTCTTTTTCCTCGAATATGATATAAATGTAGAATAAGGCTGATGATCTACGCTCTACTGGCTTTGAAACCGAGTGTTTTTGGATTTGAAGCACTTGCATAAACCTGTGTGTTGCTGGGGCTGATTTTGATCTGTGGACAGCGAACCAAATCTGGTCTCCAGTGCCTTGTGAAAAATCTATTTATGATACCCACAAAAGTCAGTGTGAAAGAGCTAAGAAGGCAGGCAGTGTTTACAGGTTGTGGCTGTATTTACCATGTTAACTCTCATCATTTTTTCCTTAAAGAAGAGCTTCTATTTCAGTCATTTTGGTGTTCACAGCAATCATCGATGAATACTTTCTTTTCAATTGAGTTTCATTTGAGCTGGTTAAAGCTTTTTAAATTAGTTTCTATCTATCTTAATGGGAATTAAAGGAGTCTTTGTTCCAGTTAAAATTAAGGCCTTTATGTAATTGATTTGTAGTCTTTTATATTCTGTAGCAAATTATCAAGAAAACCCCATTATGTTTTTCGTAAATGTATAATTTGATGTTTAAACCCTGTAAAGAATAGATTTACTGTCTTGAATTTGTTTGCTGTGTTTCTTTTGTTTTTAATCTTTTAATTTGTCAGTTTGGTGATTGTGTATTACTTTAAAAATCTGGATTTTAATCTCGACCTGCTGTCCATATCACTCACTGTTCTGCCATGGGTGTGTTACTGATTTACTGTAAATGCAGCACCTCTCACAACCTTTAACACTTCCTGTCCCTCATTATTTTTGATAGCATTCTAATGTTTCATACATAAATATCAGATATGATGCATCTGTCCTTTTTTGTAGCGTGACTTTTTTTGAGGAAATTTCCTATCTGAGAAGAGATTGGACTGTTTTGAGAAATAGCTTAAAATAATGTTGACATAAGAGGAGTTATGTACTGTAGCTGCAACTTGTGAATTCAGAGCACCCCTTTAAAATTCAATAAATTTGATTTGATAGACTGTTTTGAACCGGTCTTGTTTAGGTCTACTTTTCTTGTCTGTATTTGCACACCAAAAAAAGAAGACACATTGTCAGAACCACTGTAAACTTTCTTAAAATCCAAGTACTCTGAAAATCAATCTTTACCATCATGTTTAAATGTTGGTAGCATTCGCATTTAAGAGACAATCAATGCATGTTTGCTCTTGCGTTATCCCTTCGAGTACATGCTTTGCATTTCTACTTTAGTATGTGGCGTTAACATAAGTGCAGCATACATTGCACTGTCTGGTCATCAGGTCATCTCCCTGTAACGAGGAGCCATTGCCACTCAGAGGCACTGCTGCTTCAAGCTGCAGAAATCAAGGGGGTCTTTAAGGGGAGTTGTTGACAGAGCTGTTTAGTAAGATATCTTGCTTCAACTGTTGTCATACCTACAAATGTCAGTCACTCCAAAACAGAGAAATAAGAGGACTTGGATGGGCTTATTTCCCAAATAAGATTCTTTCAGTGATAGCATACACCCACAAAACAGAAATACCTTGGTGTAGGATTAAACCTGTTTACAATGACCAGGAGGGTTCAACATTGTTCATGAAAATGAAGATGTGCCACAGATTAGATTAAAAAAAAACGTTCTTCAAATAAAGTGAATGACAAGAAAAAAGGTACAGAGAACATTTTCATTATTAGAGTTTTTCTGTAATGGCGCATCCACATTGTGGAGGTCCTCCAGTTTTGTTGAGTAATGTTTATTCCCAAAAAGTAAAACTCAATCTAAAAGTACAATATGGATTTTTTCTTAAATTACTTAAGATATTATCAGTGTTCCTCTGTTGAATTGCCTGGGACACCTTCAGTTGAGTCCCTCTCAGTCTGATATTGGGCATCAAAATCCTTGACTCTGAAAACCAAGAACTGTCAGTCCAAGTGTCTAGCACCATAGTTTTACAAGGGGCGATAAGAGACAAAAACATTTGAATAATCCTGGCCCCTCCTTTGCCCATTGGATCTCTTCCTGCCCCCTGTATGTCCCAAAATACCAAGGCCAACCTGTCGCTCCCTAGCTCAGGCGACACAGATAGCTTAGACACTCTGAGCTGGGGCAGCGGGGGTAAACGTCGAGGAAACACTCAGTAGGTGTTCTACTGAGGAGGAAGAGGGATCAAAATCATCAGTCGCTTCATCTGGATCCCCTTTGGAAGGTTAGTTTGTTGATTCGTTAGTCCTTAAATGCACCCAGAACCTGATCTGTCCAATGCTGTGCCTAATCTCTTTTCCCTGGATAACACAGTGAGTTTTCCATAGCTTATAAATAACGGCTGCTCTTACTTTGACCAGATGAGTGAAGAGAGTAAGAGAATATGCACGTTGAGAGAAGTCCTCCATGGAGGTTAAAGGAACTGAGGAGGAACTGCCAAGGAAGGATTCTCCCAACAACTCGACTCATCCTTTAAGATCCATCTGAACTCCAACTTTGCAGGAAACTTTGATATGTAACTCTGAGGAAGTCTTTGAAAGTGTTTAGAGGAATAAGTTAAGAGTGAAACATCATATTTGTGGGGAGCTTGAACCTTTATTTAAACGTCAAGGACCTGACTGACCGGCTTAAAGAAGAAAGAGAAGAGTGTTTGGTTTCTGAGTGTGAGACCAATCAGCCCATTACTCAATAACAGCTTGAATCTAAGGGGTGTTAAGAGTCATTAAAGAAGCAATGGATGAAGCCACCAAGAATGTTCAGGATGTAATGGTGAGCGAGGCTCTGGTTCAGTTCCAGACCACCTTGCAGGCTGCAGTCAGGGAGGTGCACGTGGATGTAAGCGCCTTCAAGCAGCGCATAGAGCTAAGGATCGAGGAGCTCTGCCTTTCCCATGGACCCCTGGCAGGGGCGGTTACCAGGCTGCAAGAGGAGAACTTGCAGCTCAGGGCGAAGCTGGAGGCCCTCAGCCGTCTGGTGGAGGGTCTCGCTGGGGTCAAGATTGACAGAAATTCTACTGAAGTTCAGGGGAAGATCGTAGAGGATAGTATTGAGAATGGACACATGCAGGTGCAGTCCAAGACCCAGGAAGACCAGGGGGATCTGGTCAACTCTGGGAGAGTTGAGAACAGCCAGTTGAACCAGTCCGTTTTGGCATTCCCAGAACCATCAGGGACAATTGGGGGATTAGGCCACTCTGCTGCTGCTGCTGCTGTAGCTACAAGCAAAACTTCATCCCTTCCTCCATGGAGAGCCAAAAGGCAGGCTGAAGTCAACGTGAGTACTTATTTTGTTTTCTACAATTAATTAAGTAGAGGAATAAAGAATATTCATCCTACTCTGACTGGTGCTGATATGCAAAACCTTTAGGTATGAGTAAAAAATTTCTTAAAAAAACAAAAATAATGTGTGTTATGGGGGACTTGGGGAATTGCAATATTGTAAAATAAAAATGAAAGAAAAATTAAATGGGTCTGAGAATCAAAAACACAATTCCTGGTTCCTGGTCTAGGCTGTTAAAGAGTCTCCTCTTACTGCTACCAACCAATTTACCGTCACTTTTAAGGACTAGATGAAGCTCTGCCTTCCTCTTGAAGATGCAAAGCATTAGAGATTATGTGATAAGACTTCAATAGAGATAGACAGATAGCAGTGTAAAAGATAATAGTAATAATTTGGCTAATATTATCTTTATGGGCAAGGTATAGATAAATAAAAAAGGTATAGATAATAGGATAGATAGAAGAACATAGAGCTCTATATGAGTCTATAACTGAAGCTGGAGGCAGCTAGACTAAGCCTGTAGCAGTGTACTATAACTAGGGCCTGCTTTATGGGAAGCCTTAGCAAGCTAAAACTATAAAACCATTAAAATAGAAAGTTTTCACTCTCCATAATAGTAAAGGCGGGGTCTACCTCCAAGACCCAAACATGTGGATGATATCTCAAGAGAGGGTCCTGAGAATTCAATCCAGGCCTCTTATAGCCGGTTTCATGAACGGGTCTGTAAGTTAGAAGGTTTGCCAACTAGAAATCTTACTATCTATTAGCAATAATATTATGCCATCCAATGAAGCTCTGATATATGACAATGGATTTCCAGGTTGAAACTTCCGTCTTCATGCCCTTGTCAATGGTCTCTAATGCCAGAATTGAGTCAAATTGCAAAACAACACACAACACCGAGATTATTTGGTTGGGTTTAGATGCAAATTTCTGTTTATATGGTGAAATAATGTTGTGTTTTAACTGAAGCACAATCAACAGCTAATGTTCACAGCTGTAGCTCTGGTTAGTTAGGTGGCATCTTGTAATGTGGTGGGATTTAAGGGTAATTTAAGTAAGTATGTGACCAACCAAAGGCATGTGGATGTTAACCTGCAAAGTGGACCAAAGGCTGAAGGTACTAGCTCTGCTGGAGTTATGCACACTCAGCAAACTGATACGACAGTCCCTGTGGTCCTGTGTTTGGCTGTGTTAAGTACATTCAGTTCAGTCAACCTTGTGGAGAAGCCCCTGATATTGCTGAGTCACAGTTGTGTCAAGAATGATTTAGTTGTACTACCCAGGCTGTGCTAATGCCTGCCAGTAAACAAACTTAGGTCACTGTACTAATACTACCCACCATGCCAAGGAATCTCAGCAGCTCTGCCTTTGTGTTTGAAGGGTTTGGCTCTTAACAAGCACACCCGACTTTCCAAACTCCTTTGGTTGGCTTAGTTGGCTGGACACAACTCTCATTCACAAAGCTGTGCTTACAGTGGGATGTGACTGAAAGGTCACAGGAGATCAGGGCTTTATCCAACAACCCATTTAATCAGAACACTCTGGTACGACACTCAACCCAGGGGCTCCACTGTACCTGCGTAAATCTCATGTCATGTCAGACATGTATATGAACGGGGCTTTATATTTAACCTTTGACTCCAGCTTTACACATACATCTGTGAGGAATGGAAGCAACGCTGATGTTAATGTCATGGATCACCCGCATTTAGTAATTCTAGCTATCGAATAATTATTTTTATGCATGTAGAGTTTTTTTTGGTTTACTTTGAATTATCAACTGATAACCATTACAAAGAGACTATTCCCTGCATCAGTCGAAATGAACCCAGAGCACCCCACCACAAACACACATGCTTACAAACTGGCTGCCTTCCCTACCCCCCACTTAGGCTCATGACCAGCTTTTATAACAGCAGGTCCTCCAAAAGGGCACATGTATTTTTGGGTCAGTGATTTGGGACTGAGCTGCACCTCTTTGGAGTCCCTGCATTCTTTATACACTGTGGTACATCCTTTCTTACCTTTGTTTAACACCCTCTAAAAAATGAGTGGAGGACGGCACCTCTGAGAGGTCAAAATCATTGATAATGTAGCTGATGAAGCTGGACAGTACTAGGGGTGAGTTTATAGCCACGGTCTGGGTAGTAGTAGGCTAGCTGACAAACACGATCAGTTTAAGACACTGCGTGCTGCTGACAGGGTTTGCAGTAGACAGATTGTGTTGTATTTTTATGACGTAACCCACAAGCACACTCTGAAGCTGTGTATAAATACAGCCTTGTACCCTAACACCCAAGGAATCCCACCCCCTAGCCAATCCAAGTCTCAAATCTCCAAATGGAAAGTTGAATTGCATCGACGTCTCTGTAAATAATACCCCCGGCCTACATCTCAAGAGGGAAAACCAGCTGTCATGTCAAAACCCACGACCAGCCAACATTCCTATACGCTGAAATCATTTGGTCTTACCCATCCATCAGCATCAGCCCTCCAACTCTGACCTACCGCACTCCTACTCCACTACTAAAGTAGCTCCTTGATTCACCGACTGATCATCCGCCCCACCATTCTCAAATTTAATATCGTCGCCCCTCAGATAATTTGAAATCTGTTGAGTTCATCGGTTTCCTTGCCCACGTTTTCCAGGAGGTGAAAGATTGGAAAAAATAAGCAGGATTATCACGTCTCCCTTTAAGTTCCTCATTTTAATTCCCCGAACTCGACCTCTCCCGATGTTTTCCATATTTCCAAAATAATGCAACATAGCTAATGCTTGCATTCAATCCCATGTTGCAACCAAAGTCTGTATACGTATCTATAAAAAATAGATGTCATCGATCCCATCTATTTCTTCAGCCCATACCATCATGGTTGCCATGTTGGTATTGCTGTCTCAACTTTTCCTGTCTGTCTTCACCTTCTCCATCAGTAACAAACGGTAGCTCCACTTCATGGCTTCTGACAAACTAATACTACACTTTCTGGGTGTAAACATCCTGTCAGGTGGTGTGCTTTGACACTATTTTGATCTAGAAAAGGGATGTAGGCAGCTTTTGACTAAACTGGAACCTTTCAATCAGATCAACTCTCCTGCAAGGCCGACTGAAAGCAGGTGGTGCTAGATCTGCCAGTGGTAGACACACTCTGCAGATCAATTTTACATTGTTTTCCTGCAGACGGTGTGATTTTGTACCTTTTATTTGGTCTGTTTTAAATTTCATTTAAAAAGCTGAGATGTTAGTTGCTTCATATCCAGATTGTTTGATACTTTGTTCGTTAGTGGTCGTAAAACCATTTATCCAGTAATGTTTTGATCGCCTAAAACAGTAGGCATGCCTCTGGGATTATGTGTGCTCCTCTCCAACATAAGTATTTTTGTATGTTTCTAAAAGAGGGCCGGTTTGATGCAGAGGTAAACCCAGTCAGAGTTGAAGGGATTATTGAGGTCAGACAGAGCCAGACTGTTATATCCTACAGGAGCTAGTGTGGAGCCCAAAGATCACGGTGGTGTTAATCTCCCTCCTGACGACCAGTTGACGTACTGACTGAAACGGCTTTATTGCATGGCCCCCCTGATCAGTGCAGGTCTCTTGAAAGCAAAAGTCTGGGGGTTCAGAGAGGGGGCAAAATCCTGGCCCAGGCTTCCAGCTGATATACCGAGCCACCGTTTGAACCACTCAGGCTAACTGCCTGATTTCCAAAGCATCCATTTGGGGCTATATTGGGATGTAAGAAGAGTGCAGCGGAAACTCTTGCAAAGGGACTGATTGCAAAATCTAAAATAGCCTCTCAGTGGGAACATGAGTTTGTTGGCCACAGCTGTCAGTAAAGAGGTTTTCAGCTGTTAACAGCTGAAGATCCCACTTTCAGAGAACTGAGCGCACACACACACACACAACACACACAGTCACACACAGTCACACACAGAGAGACAATCTTATCACTGATGATAAAGGCCAAAGATTATTTTTAGCACAGCAGCATGCAGAGGTATGGAAGACAATCGAGCTATCTTTGTTTGTTGTGGTATAAAATCCAATGATTGATGTTGCTAAGCCAGTACTGACACTCTTTCCTGCAGGCCTTACACAACTCGATTATCTCCACGAGGTACTGGATCAAAATGAGGTTGAAGTGTCTCTTAAAATTCTTTATTCGTTCTATTTTTATGTTTTGATCATCTGTGTTCAACCTGCGATTAAAGCTGTGTGGAAATTTTTGTCTTATGTCACCCTGACGGACTTTGAGTCTGATGAAAATAGCATTTACTGCGCTAACGTTCTATTTAATGATAAGTTGTTTACCTATTTTGAATGTTAACAGAAACAGACATTTTTGTTAAAGTATCAACAGGGCTTTGCGTGCATTTCTGAACACAGGTATGTTAATGTTTCAGATTGTGGCTTATTTCCATCCATAGTTTCAGGCAGATTGGTGGTAAATTTACGAATAAACATCAAGCAAACATGAAATAGAATCAAATTAAAAGTATGCAGAACCCGATAAGCAGAAACCGGAAAACAAGACCCAAATAAAACAATACAGAAAGTGGCTGTAAAACTATAAACAAGACAAATCAGGAGTAAAGTCGGAGTTAGCGCTAAGATGCATTAGGTGTAAGTGTAAAGGCAGGTGTTTAAGTACCAGAGCGCCAAAGTGCTGGGTCAATGTGCTGCACATGATGGTAAGTGTGCAGGTGTAAATTGCACCTTTGCCCCAGACCTGTTAATTTGAAGTGCTGGTGTAATTACATATAGTCCTATTGCACAAAAACAGACATGTTCATTCATGAAGTATTGCACAGAGAGCACATACATAGACGTGTTAGGTTTATAATATTGCAGTGAAGTTGCATAGATAGTACCTTACCTTGTTATGATTTTTTTCCCACTCAAAAGAGGTCATGTTTTTAGTTTTGTGATACCACATGAAATGTTGAATCATGAATGTCACACCTGTGCATTTCCTGAACAGGGCACCGATGTGAAAGGAGAGAGAAATGTTGCCTCAGCTGTTCAAGAGAGCGTAAAGCAAGGTAGGCTGATAATCTGAGTCGCTCCTGTAAGCTTAGATAAAACCTGACAAACTGATCTCACCTTTGGTTTTGTTCCTCTCCACAGAAAGCTCATCAGTGAGCTCTGATGTGTCTCAAACTGTTGAAGCTGTCCCTCAGTCCCACCGGCCTCTGACTTCCATCACCAAACCAAACCCAGAGTCTCTTTACTCTACTGTGGAAACCCTAAACAAGCCTAGTCAGTTGATTTCACACAAATACTCATGAATTTCAACTTTTTTATGCATGTCTTGTCCTGGTATTGATTTAAGTCAATTGTTTTTTCCTTTCAGACCAGGAAGATCCGGGTCTTTTTAGCAAACCCCATCTTCCTCTCACTTCTATGACAAAAGCCAGCTCTGAAGCTCCGACTCTTCCTCAGCCTGCTGCCTCTGCTTCCATCACACCCAAAGAAACTCCAGTAAAACCAGCAGAATCTCCTGTTAAATGTGGTGAGAAAACATTGTTTCCCTCCATCTTTGTAAAAAAAACAAAAACACCAGTGTGTTAAAATCGTCATGGCTCCCAACCGTACTAAATAGTCGTGTCAGACTGGATTACTCATAACCACCCATATTATTCTGACTTCATTCTGTATTCAGATTTTGCCTTTTTCAGATATTGAACCCCAGCCTCATCTTCCTGTCACTGCCATGACAACAAAACCCAGTCCAGAGGGTCTGAATGCCTCTAAACCTGCCCAGTCTCCAGCACTTGTGTCCAAAGCAGCTGTTCATTCAGCAGCAGAAGCTTCATCAGGGGATTACCCCTTTATCAGAGGTCGGTAAAAGGGTCTTTAATTTGAAGTCATCCGGTTGTTTTAGTGGGGGACTGAGATTCACTATTTTCACTTTTACTGCCATTTTAATCCTCGTACCTGTTATTCTGTTCAATCCCTTTGTGTCCAGGAACATCCGCAGCAAAGGATCTGAGGTCCCAGGTTACCACAGAGCAGTCAGCTTCAGCGCCTCACCTTCCTCTCACAGCTGAGACCAGAGGCAGCTCTGAGACTTTAGCTGCTACAAAACCTGAGCCGAGCCCTTCCTCTATACCTGAATCCCAGACCATAAAGAGAGGCGAATATCCATTTAAACATGGTTAGTAAACACGTTTCTGTGTCTAAAATTGTACAAAGAATATAGACCCAAGTGTAAATTTGTTTTACTGACTCACAGTTTTTCTTATTAGCAAAAATGTGTCCTGGTTTATTTCTCTCTCCATTAGACGTCCCTCAACCCAAACCACAGCTGTCTCTTTCTGCCGTGACCGTAACCAACACAGAGTCATCTTCATCTTCTGTTACAACATCTCAGACCTCGAGTCTGTCAGCATCACAGGACCCCAATGTAAAACCTGGAGAGTATCCATTTAAGAGAGGTGAGTTAAAGCAGATCACACTGATCAGTCAGAGCCAATAAATATAAGCCAATAATATAAATAGAATTTGAAGGTTTGCAAATTGTATAAAGTTTATTCTTTATAGAAATCAAAGTTAAGACAACATATCAAGGGTTGGAATAAAACAAATACATTTCTGGCCAGTTTAGCACCCAGACTCTTCTACTACAGAGCCATGCTGTTGTAATAAGTTTGTCATCTTCTGTATCATCCAAGGTTTTTGCTGAATAGGGGTTGTTTGAATTAAAGCATGTGTTGCTCCAAAACCTCTATAAGATGTTTGGCTTTAATGGTGCCTCTCAAGATGTGTAAACTGGCCATGCAGTGGGCACTTATGTATCTCTGTATCAACACAGATACTGTTTTTGAGCTTTTCTTCCTTTCCACATCCATGAATTCCAAAAAGAAAGTTGGATGTTGATTTGCCAGACTAGTGGACAGTTTTGCCCTTTGCCCCAGTCCATCTGAAATTGACTCAGGCCTTGAGACGTTCTGGATCCTGCTTATGGTTTTGTTTTTTGGAAGTGATTTTAAGCCCAAGGGAGGAGTTTCCATTTGAGGGCCTGAAGATCACAGCCATCAAGTGTTGGTTTTTGGTCTTGTCCCATTTGTATAGAAATTCTCTAAATCTTTCTTTGTGCTCTAAATGGTGAAATCCTCAAACCCTTTTAATTCGATCAGTAAAAATATCCTGAAACTGTTGAACAATTTCCTCTTGCAGTTACTCACACAGTAGTGATCCTCTTTTCCTGTTAAGTTCCTAACCTGTTAAAAAATTAATCATTGGTCATTTAGCATTACATACCTCTTCTCAACTTTCTATTTCCATCTTGCTCCACACTTAACTTTAATTTATCTCTTACTTTATTGACACAGTCCCAGTTCTCAAGACTCCGAGTCCCAGCCTAAAGAGGAGTGTCAGCTTTCCTCAGCCTGCAGGTAAAATGCTCCTAACAATCATCAGGAGCGAAACGATCACTCTTTTGTTGGTCTGATTTGTTCCTGTTTCTCCTCCTGCAGAAAAGTTACTTCCCTCCAAGTCCATCATAAAATCCGGTTTCTCACCAAACTTGGAGAAGTAAGTCATGACTCTAAATCGTTGTAGTTCACAGCCCACTGGAAGACGCTCTCTGAACGTCATCATTACATGCTGTCCTCTGTCTCTGAGCAGGAAATCAACCAAGTCAGGAGGTGTCGAGTTCAAGTCAGATGTGATGAAAGCACAAACTCTTCCTCGGGCTAATGGGGCTCAGGCTAAGCGGGCTTTATTCGAGAGGATGAACTCAGAGCCGACAAAGTAAGTGTGTCAAAGATATCCTTTTCCAAATCCTGAATCCTGGGTATTTATGAAATTTTACTTCTCTTGAACAGAGTGAAGGACTCCAAACCTAAACTGAAGCGCTCTCAGAGTTTTGGAGTGTCCAGTGCCAGTGGTATCAAACAGATTCTGCTGGAGTGGTGCCGCTCAAAAACCATTGGCTATCAGGTGCTTCACTGGAATATTGTAGTGTATAAACATTTAACAGTCTCACTCTAAGTTCAGTCCTGTGAAATGTGTAGTACCGCGAATAACAGTATGATCCTGTTTTTCTCAGAACATTGATATCCAGAACTTCTCATCCAGCTGGAGTGATGGGATGGCTTTCTGTGCTCTGGTCCACTCTTTCTTCCCTCTGGACTTTGACTACAACACCCTGAACCCTTCAAACCGCAAACAAAACCTCGAGCAGGCCTTCACGACTGCAGAGTAAGCTAGACTCGAGATGATGAATAACTGAAATACCCAAATGTCTGATGAATGATTGTACTTGAGTTTCTGTATCTTTTGTGCTCGTTGTGTATCTTGTCTTAACACACTCCCCTAAATCGTCCTTTTCAGGCAGCAGGCCGACTGTCTCCGTCTGATCGAGGTGGACGACATGCTTGAGATGGGGGACAAGCCTGACCCCATGTGTGTGTTCACATACGTCCAGTCTCTCTACAACCACCTGAAGAAGTTTGAGTAACTCTGTATCAGAGTAGATTTCAAAGCTGAGAGGTTATAACGCTGTAATGCAGACTAATATGAAGCCAAACTCAGCAAGTGTACTGATAAAAACTTCTGCTGTTAGAAACACGTAAACAGTGACTGCATTTTTGCCGCCAAATCACTGATTATCAGTTTGATACGGTATGAGTGTGTGGAGCAGTTTTAACCTTTTTCTGACGGTGATTCTTACAGCACAGTTTGTGAAGACATGTTTGATGGTGTGCATGGCTCTAATTTACAAAAGAAAGCTATTTTTTTGTTGTCATATCAGTATTAACAAATGGAATCTAATTTTTCAGTATTTAAATTATGATAAAAGTCTGTAATATCTGATGTTGATCAATCAGTGTGAGGAAACACTAGGGTTTTTAAACTGTGCAAAGACAACAAACTGGACGTCTGCCTGACAGTGATCTGAAAACAGCAAAATAAAACACTTTTCTTATACTCTTTATTTGCAAAGTGACTGCTTTTGCACAGTGAAACAAAAATCATGTCCCTGGAAAAAATCTGATGGTTAAATTTGTGTTCGCTTGAGTGTCATTTTTTTTCTGCATCAGGAGCCAAATTCAGGTCAGTAAGATAAGGAAAAAAACTTTAAAATGTTCTTCTTACTTAAACACAAGTAAAAAGTGACTTAATTACTGCTGAATAAGACCAAAAAAAAAACAAAAAAAACAGCCGTTTTAAAGCTGCATCCCTGGCCATTTGGTATCCTTGTCTTATTCTTATCTTTGATTATTCAAGCGTCACATTTTCTGGGGTTTTAGGGTTATTTTATGGGGCTTGTGTTCATTAATATGCCCACAAAGCGGATTAATGAACACGAGCTGTATATAGTAGCTGTATAGAGTTACATGTAAGGATACATAAGAAAAAATTACTGGCTGATGAGATTAGGGGAAAAGTTTGTAAGGAGACTGACCTTAATGACCCATCTTTAACTGCGAGCTAATAATATATCCATCCAAATTTGCATCCAGCATCTCACAGCTGGTCTGTCATCACTAGAAAAAAAAAAAGAATAAGTAACAGGATAAGTTTTTGAGTGATGCCACTCCTGCAAATTAAAAGGGTTTACACCGCCATCCTGTGGCAGAATAGATACAATGCAACAGCTTTTATACGTTTCAAATAATTCTTTAGCTTTAATTTTTTTAGTTACACCACTTTTGTCCCCCTTCTTTTGACGTGTGCTTCCAAAATAAAGACTAAAAACATTCAAGAGCAAAATTCTACCGATTTCAAAGCTCCCACACTTAATATTTTTAATACTGAATTATAGGCAGGTGCTTTTATACCAGTGCAGCAGTTGTAATTTTAGGTGTTTTGTGCAAATAGATAATATTTTCAGTTTTGATTCTGATTATACACAACCTTGTTTTTGTAGGTGTACAATTTCATACAACGTTTTCATGTGACAACATGAAACAATGTAGAATCGAAGAAATAAACGGAGAGCCAAGATGTTAGGTGGGGATGGCTAATGATAAAGAAAATCTAGTTTAGTTAACTATAACAGCTTTAAAAATATTGATTCATTACAAAAAGTAAAAATGAATAAAAAGTAATGCTTGTTTTATGAAACCAAAATAACTTTTTTAATGTAAGATGTCAAACGTTTGGCAATCAGTATAAAGGTATTTTTGGTGCAAAAGCTTTCTCAACTTAATTTTGGTTTCATGAAACAAACATCACTATTCATTAATTTTTGCCTTTTGTAATGAATCTATATTTTTAAAGCTGTGATAATTAACTAAACTAGATTTTTCTTATCTCAGCCATACCCGCCTAACATGAAAACTTTTTATGAAAACATACACCTACAAAAAAAAGTTTTGTGCTGAAAAAGGCAAGAGAAGGAATTAAAGTAATGATGCGTTCAAGGCACTAATGTAGTTTATTTGATCTTTTCGAAAATCCTGGACTTAATTTAATTATCAGACCAGCATGAAATACGACGTCAAATGGAAATGAAATTTAAAACCAAAGTTAAAAGGCAAAATTCAACCTCGAAATATAATGAAACTTTAACTGTGTATTAAATTGTGTAATGAATCAGTTGTAAGTCGTACCACCGTACGGTCCCTGAACGCATCGCTTCCCATTGAACAGGCATCCCTTCCGGTAGATGAGGTCAACTTTTCCCCAGATCCGCCATTTCAGTCCCGGAGTTTCTTGTTGCACATTAGTTTGTATTTTTTTGTTTTATTCTGTTGTTTTCCCATTTACGCAGTTAAGCGTAAGATTTTGTGGTTAAGCAGAAGTCCCGTAAACGTAGGCACCTGTATAATAACTCGCAGAAGTTGCTAAATTTAAAGTAATAAACAGTTTTTCGGGGGCAACGTTAGTCTACTAAAGTTTTTGTATGAGTTACGGATAGGGAGAGGCGAAGGGGAAAGGCCTCAAGCCTCGGGCAGGATTTGTCAGCCATGGCCGGTAATTTTGATGCCGAAGACCGTGGGAGCTGGTACTGGGGAAAGCTAAGCCGTCAGGAGGCGGTTTCTTTTCTTCAGGGGCAGAGGCATGGCGTTTTTCTGGTGAGGGACTCAATAACCAGTCCTGGAGACTACGTGCTGTCTGTGTCGGAGAACTCCAAAGTGTCCCATTATATCATCAACAGCATCAGTAACAACCGGCAGTCTGGCACAGGTAAAGACCATCACTTATCCTACCTTTAGCTACCTGGATAAATCTGCTTCACATATCCACCCGATGGTAACTTCTGAAAACCTGTTTCGATTTGCTCATGGATTGTGGAGCGTTAGCCCCGTTACGTCCGATTCCATCACCCCACGCCGAACCCCCTGAAATACTTCATCAATTTTAGTTGTTTTCAGTATAAACTGTTAATACAACAGATATTCATCACAGAATGTTTGGCTTGACTTTTTTGTAAGATAGCACTCTCAAATTCGGCAGGGGTATTATAAGAAAATATCGTCTTTTCGGAACAGTAAAATGAAAACTTCAATGTGGTTTGCACTGCCTGCTACCGCCCATGGACTGATAGCTAGCCACCTAGCCTCGTTACCATAGGTGTTTTACACTCACCTTTGAGCAACATTATAAATTAAAAAAAGCTCTGCAAATTATACAGGATTTCAATCTGTAACTAAACGAAAGTACAAGGACAACATAGTGCAAATAAAGGCTTAAAATTAGGGGGGAAAGAAATGATAGATGTTTTCTATTGCAGTATCTAGGATTAAAGTAAAAGCCAAGGGACATACTATTAAGCTATTTAAAGCAATCTTGGTATAAACAAGTTTGAAAGAATATTTTAAAACAAACAAAAATAAATAGATTAATGTAAAAAAAACGGTCTGTGATTTCACTGTTTTAAATGGACAAATCCAACTTTCTTTCCTTAATTATAATACACTAAGTACTTAATTTCAACACATGGCAGTGGGAGAAAGTAAGATGTAACTTCTTAATTATATGAGAGCACCTTTTTCCCTGACTGATAATGGTAAAGCAACCAACAGCATTAATGTGTAATCTAAATCATCAAAGTTCTTGATTATTTTTGCAGTGTCTTTTGTCAGTATCACACCCAGTTGATAGAGAGGCATGTTATCATAAGCCAAAAATAAGGACTTGACTGGTTGTCATGAGTTAAAATAGCCGCCAGGATCAAGATCTTCAAGTAAACCTTAAGTACCGGTATTATAGTACAGACAGTGTGCTTTGTGGACGAGCAAGCTAAAGTCCCCATCTGTAAATCAGCATTGAATCACTGAGCTACCCTTCTTGGGTTCATGTATGAATCTTCTCAGAGGGAGGGTCATGAAGGAAGCAGGAGGGGAGGGTGTTGAGGTGGACTGGACTGCTGCTGCTGCTGCTGCAGAGTTTGAATGGAACTGGGCAGGCTGGGCTGTCACTACTGGGGGATGACTGGTTGGATTGGCGTTCCAGGAATGTCTGTGATCCTGCCCTGTTGCACATAGCTCTGCTGCTTACAGGTCTGCTGATGTCCCTGTAACTCTTTGTCCTTCCTTGGTTTGAATCACCTTTGATTTCCTGAAAGAAAAAAAGAATAAAATTAACTCTGGACCATTTTTTTTGACGTATTGAATTACATCAGGGATAAATAAAGTTCTTCTTTTATCTTTTGTCAACCAGTTTTAATGTGCCAGAGAAATTCAAAAAATTCCAGGAATCTTGGCTTTACAGTATTTCAAAATGACCAAATGTGGGAGCTGTTCCTACTTTCTGTCTGTCCTGAAGCTAAAAATTTGACAAATGTGCACACTGGACAGAAGCACAGACACAAACTTTTGTCAATTATGGGTGTTGTTTGAATTCTAGTATCATATCAGACTTACAGGTTTAGAGACAACCCTACAACCTTGATCAGCATGGAGTGAAGTCCCAAACCAAGGCTGATATGAAGTCATGTTCATTGACTTAAATATCACAGTAAAGTCTATGTGGGTGATCAAGTTTGAATAAGTAACTATGAAGACTATAAATGGGCGCGTTTTGCCTGATGGATTTGATAGTTTTCTTGAACAAAATTGGTCTTTTTGTTGAGAAATTGATCGACACTCTACGATTAATTTCTGTTGAGGTCATGTCAACGGATCCATGAACTGAAGCAAACTAACCAAGTCTTTTCTTCCTCTGCCAGGGGTGGCTCCTCCCCGGTTTAGGATTGGGGATCAGGAGTTTGAGGCGCTGCCGGCCCTCCTGGAGTTTTATAAAATCCACTACCTGGACACCACTACGTTAATAGAGCCTATAAACAAGGCCAGGCATTCAGGCTTCATCAGCTCCACTGCTGGCGTCCCGCAGCAGCCTGAGGAAGCTGAGTTTGTGCGGGCGCTCTTTGATTTTCCCGGTAATGATGAGGAGGACCTTCCCTTCCGCAGGGGCGACATCCTGCGAGTGCTGGAGAAGCCAGAGGAGCAGTGGTGGAACGCTGCTAACCAGGAAGGCAGAGCTGGGATGATTCCTGTCCCTTATGTGGAGAAGTACCGGCCTGCCTCGCCCACTGCTACTGGCCTAGGTCCCCCTGTTGCTGGGACTGGACAAGGAGGGGTAGCAGGCAGCACAGATGGAACAGGGGCCCCGCAGGGAAACCCTCTGGGTGATCCAGGCCAGTATGCTCAGCCTGTGGTCAACGCTCAGCTGCCTAACTTACAGAACGGGCCTGTCTACGCCCGAGCTATTCAGAAGAGGGTGCCCAACGCTTACGACAAGACGGCGCTCGCTCTGGAGGTAGAAAACTCATCCCCTGTCTCTTTTATTTGACACTTTTCCTCTCTTCACTGTCAGCGTCTTTGAGTTTCTGTCCTCTTCTTCAGTTTCCTGCCTCAGCTGAGGCCGCGCAGATTGTCCTGGATGTTAATGGCTCACTCATGCGTGTGAGAATACACACAAAGTTTCTTTACAAATGTAGGCTGACACATGAAGACACTCACAGCGGGGATGGCTCTGTAGACACAGACACAGATCCTTTACAGTGGCCTCTCTTTATATACACATTGGGGTCTATTGAATTAATATATTCATTACCACTGGAGCCCGGTGGAACAAGGCTCGCTGTTTGTTGTTTAATTGGATCGGGGGGACAAATAGTGTCTGCTCGGATTAGTACAGAAAATGCAAACATTGTTGGAGGTAAATAAAGACGGTTTGGCATCAGCTGGTTTAGTCAGAGTTCTCTGAGGCCGCCTCGCAGTGATCTGGGCATACAGGAGGACCAAACAGAAAATCCCTTCACTGACTCATGTTGGTGTTGTCTGCGTTCACCCTCAGTCATTCACTCTAATTCGATAGTTTGAAACATTGTCCAGTTTGGATGCATGCACTAACTCCAGCTGTTGCAATAAACCAGTATTGATGATAACCTGAGAGATTTGGAATATTGATTTCAGGGTGAAAATAAGCAATGGCATGAAAAGATGGGCCAGGAACCGCTAAAGCAGATGGTTTGAGATTTGTCATAAATTAATATATATGCTAATATATAAAATAATCCTAGCTCTTCTCTAAACTGTTTTTTTTAATAAAGGTAGTGGATGTAAATACAGATATATCACGACAGTTTTGTTGACCACTGCTGCATCATTAATTCCTCAGCTGTCAGTCGTCATGGTCGGACCTCCTGGATTTCTCTCTGCTCAGCCCGGTTTGTTTGACACTGAAATAACAAAAGTGGAGTCCAGTGTATATTCACGCCTCTGACACAAAGCAGACCTCATGACATAACTCTGTGTTTATAAACCTCTGCTGCTGCTGCTGCTACAATATACTGTAAGGTCACAATATACTGTACGGTTGAGCCATGAAGTAAACAGTGAAGTCCTGAATCACGATGCCGTCACTGTAGTTAAGTGGCACAGCTAACTGTGTGGTTTCAACATTTAATTCTATATTCAAGTCTACTGTCTGAAAAACAGCTCTTAACCTGTGTGTTTACATCACCTGTGTTAACATGAAAGTCCCAGTGGAGGCAATGTATCGGTCATGACTTCATTTTTAAAAATTGAGATCTTTTAAGCTCATGAGTAGGCCTGTCACGATAACAAATTTTGCTGGACGATAATTGTGCTACAAATTATCGCCGATAAACGATATTATTGACACCGTTTTTTAAATTATAGATAATGATATTATATGGCATAATAATGCGAGTACACCATGTCAAAAGTGACAAACTTTTATTTCCACAGGAGAACAACACTGGTTGTTTTCGTTGACTAAAATATTTCCCTTTTCTCCCACGACGAAGACGTAACGTTGACGAGCTTAACATAAGTTGGAGATGACTAAAATGTGACGAGACGAAAGTGCGTTTACGTTGATGGGACGAGACGAAAATGACGAACAGAGTTGCAAAACTCAGTGAGTTAAACGCTAAACATACAGGAGCAGCTTCAGTCCGCTCTGACAGCTTTCATCAGCCTGCTGTGCTCCTCCAACACAGACACACACGCGCGCGCGCGCGCGCACACACACACGTGGAGTTTTGTGGTTGACGAAAACAAAACTGGTTTAAAGCCGAAATATTCCCACACTTGGGCTGTTGCGTTCGGTTTAGACACCAAAGCTGTCGTGTTCATTCTGTTAGCTTGCTTTTCACTCACGACGCTCACTTGCAGCATAATTTGACCCGTTATCTGTGTGCCTGTGCGCGCCAGCCCCCTCGTGACAAAGATACTGAATGACTGACAGGAGGGTTCACTAACTCCGTTCATTCCGCCATAGAGCCAACGCCCCCAGGTGCCGAGAACAATGCGCAGAGTGAGACCTCTTCTCTCATCCAGCGTGTTTGGTAGCGAGAGAGGAGGAAAACAAACGCACGTTAATTATCGAGGCTGGCAAAATGACCGACCTCGTTTTTATTTATCGAGCGATAAGGCGATTTATTGATTATCGCGACAGGCCTACTCATGAGAATTTGAAGGAGGAAAAATCTCTTCAGCCCATCAAAGGCTATGTTCACACTGCAGGTCAATTCTGATTTTTTTAACCATATGTGACACATATCAGATTTTTTCATCATAGTGTGAACAGTGGAACTCTGATTTTTTCAAATCCGACCCAGGCCTCTTTTGTATGTGGATATAAATCGGATATGTATCCGATGCGACTTCAGTGTGGACGCTCGGGTCGCTTTCATCCGACCCATACGTTATCAATATGCGACAAATGTCACCATTGTTCGACAACACAAACAGGCACGGAAAGCAATGGCGGATGAAGGAACGGAGAACAGCCAGTTGTGCGCATGCGGGTCACTTCAAGGACGCATTCCATTCACATTAGATGCGTTGTTGTTGTAATGTGAACGACCGCACAAAAAGATCGGATTTAATAAAAAATCCGAATTGTGCATCATAACCTGCAGCGTGAACGTAGCCAAAGTGTCCAAATTGGCTCTCCATTGCTGTCAAATTTTCAGCCAAAGTTCCGATAATTTGACCCATTATGGCTCGTTAATTATTAAACAACCTCTGATCCAAAGTTGTTGTGCACAGCAAACTGCCTTGTCATAAAAATAGTGACAAAAATGTCTGCAAAAATAATGAAACGGCTGCATAGACTCCAGTAATGAGTTTTAAATTTGTATGATTCTTTAACTGTCAATTTGAACTCAAATCTTAATTTTTCGAATGGACCCTTTGCTTGCATTAATTGCAGACTAGAATACGGATTATCTAAGCTTGTTATAAATAGGTTAAATAGAACTCATGTTGATGAAATTCTTACCTGAATTTTACAGGCTTTTATTTTGTTGAGCTACTACCTGTGACCGGGGTGACCATTTGCAGTTTTCATGTCCTTTTGTGGGTCAGTCAATACTTTTCTCTCTGTGGGCTTGATCAAATGTCAATCAGACATCCAGCTCGTATTGACAGGTTGACTTGCATGAACTGATTGTTCTGGCTGATGCAAAACAGAAAAAAAGAAAATCCATTCATTCGTATCCTGCCTCTTTATTCATATTTCTCTGTGTTGTTGTTGTTGTTTCACAGGTTGGAGACATGGTGAAAGTGACCAAGATCAACGTGAACGGCCAGTGGGAGGGTGAGTGTAAGGGCAAGAGAGGCCACTTTCCCTTCACTCATGTTCGACTGTTGGAACAGCACCACCCCGATGACGAGAGCTGAGATACACACCTCCACCTCAAGCACACCTCCTTTCTCTTTTTGTGAAGTTTTCATGCTCGGAAAGGAAAAAAGGTTTAAAAGCACACATTGTATGGACCTATGAACCAGTCAGAAACTCCTGGCTCTGCTGATGCAAAGACGTGTTGGATGAAATTACATAATGTTATTCTGAAGAGTTTACACTAGGGTCAGACTGATATCGGTTTGCCATATTACCTAGAAATCTACAGTGCCTCTACTGGTTTACTCCCCCCATCACAGCCACCAAACACTTCCTATCACATGCGAGTAAATTTGTCTTTCATTCAAGCAGGTTTGAAATTTATAAATGCTTTTCGTTAAAGATGTCAGTGCAGTGTTAGGTGTAAATAGCTATCTTTAGAGCTCAGAGGGAACAAAATCAGAGTCCGAAAACACATACAGCTTTGAAGGTGTTTGATTTACCTGTTTTTCTGCTTTTTGATGGAACAGTAATGGAAAAAAAGATGCTGTATAGGACCCCATCCCTGAACCATTTGGCCAAATATGACCAGAGTGAAAGCTGTTCATTCAACAGCTACAGCACTGTTTAAGCTTCACACGGAGGGTTTGCAATATTAAAGCTCCTGTGAGGGTTTTTTAAACCCAACTTAAATCAATGCCAACATCACTCTATGAACAAGAAATGACCAAAAGCTCCAAGCTTGACCATACAACCGCTGCTACAGGGTACACTGTCCACGGCAAATATTGGAGTGACATTTTTAGTAAGGAAAGACTTGCACAGGACAGGACAGAAAATACTCAACTTTGTCCACAAGAGGAGCCATAATCAACTCAAATCCGAAATTCCTCACAGGAGCTTTAATTATTTTGTAATCGTGAAGTCAGCCAAAGCTAAACGATCATTTAATCCAGTCCATCTTGTGGTCTAAACCATGCAAACGACAGGTGTGAGAGCGATCTTTAGGGCGAGTCTTTTGGCCAGTGACCTACAGATTCAGCTACAAACTCTACAAGAAGGTAGATTTTGATGCTGCAGGAAGCTTTAGAAAGGGAATGTAAATGTCAAGTTAAAATGTTGGCAGTTCGTCACTTTGAATCCAAAACTAGCAGTGTTTGGTGCCAGCAGCCGATATCAGTCCAACTGTAGTTAAACATGCCTGCAGCCCAGTATTGAAGTCTGCTTCACACACTCACGATGGAGTCTGGTCTTCCCAGTGGTATCTGTGTATCACCGCCCACCTCTTTTCATTCATACACAGACAGGAACAGAAATCTATTACAGACAGGAGACAAAACACTCGGCTTCTCTCCCAGAATCATGACTCAGTGAGTTTTTGTAGAGCCAGACTGTGAATCTCGGAGCGAAAACAAGCAAAGACTTTTCCTGAAGCCTCCGTCTCCTGGAGAAAGACTGTCCTCCATAAATCCACCGACTTACTCCACCCCACACTACAAAGCAAGTCCTCTTTTTTGTACTACAAGTGGAAAATACTATGATAGAATTGACTCTATATACACACACCTTCCATGCTAAAACATTACTTTCCTTTCTTTCTTATTTTTCTTAATTACCAGAGACTGTGCACCTATCCTTTATATGATCCTCCTTAAACAGCAGCAGATATGATGGCTTCACATGCAGCAGTTTGAAAGAGCAACCGGACAAAGGTGGATGATAAAGATCCCAGAGGCTATTTTTAAGACGAGGAGAAAAGTTGAGAGATTTTATTTTTAGCATCCAGCCAGTTATTTATGACTCTTTTATCAGTAGATGCTCTCAAGATCAAATCTGCCTTTTAAACTCGAGTGCGATTGCATCTGTCTGCATTACAGGTGGAACCATATTACGTCATTTCCTGTGCCAATAAGACGCCCTGAATTGCTGAAGGTTCATTGTTTGTTTCTTGCTTTTTACACGTTTTTGAATACATGTTGATATTACAGAGCTCTTTGAACACACACACACACACACACACACACACACACACACACACACACACACTGAGCATTAAGGTGATTTTAAATAACAAAAAGACCAGCATTGTTTGTTATTATTTGTTCCTGATACCGAAAGCTTACAGCTGCCTAAACTCTCTCCTCCTCGTGACCATACTGTCTATCCAAGTTTATTTTATGATAGCGTCATACTATGCATTTACCATCATGAATTGGCTGCAGAGATATGTGATGTTTTTATTCTAGATACTGCAACAAATGGATCAACTGTATTAGGCCTGCACAGAACGAAAAAAATATGTGATGCACAATAACTTTGTTCAGCACTATAAAGTGCAATAAATCACCCAAAGTTAGTGATTATTATCCGTGACCTCCAGTCTCTTTGTCTTTTAGCTGTTTTTCATGTTTTATGTATCACTCATGAACCCAAAAGCATCTACAAAAGTGCTTTTTTTTACTGCCACCAGTTATTTCGAGGGTAGCTGTGAACTCGCTTGAACCCCTGAGAGCATCAAAAAGTCATTTTAAGGATCTAAAGCGACTAATTTCCCAGTCTAAAAGCATAGATTTGAACCCCCACTACCTTATGTGTCTGAAAGTTAGGAAAAACTCATAAAAGAGTCCAAAATTAAAACTTATTAAAAACAACTAAAAACAGGATCCCTCTGTTGTCTGCGGGTATCTGTTTACTGGGTATGGGTGCTGCACTGCCAGCTTTTAGTCCTCTCTGCATGTGAATAGGAGAGCATTACAGCATTTTCGCAAGAGTCATTAAAACCTACTCCTATTGAAACTAACTTGAGCTTTGTAATTTAATAAATCTGTTTATGTTGCATTCCAGAGCTAAAAGGAGGCAGAGGAAATAATTAAATTGGGACAAACCTCCTTTTTGTGTAACTAAGTAAATACCAGGAAGCCAACAAATAGTCCTAAAGTGACCTAGATCTCCATGATACTGATGCAACACCACTGTTGGTGACAATGACACTAATTTTGCCGCCAGGGTCACATTTTGCTTTAACTGAAGGAAACCAAACCTCGGTTGTGTCTTACACTCACATGCATCTGCCTTTTTTTTTTTTAATAAGAGATTCACATGTTCTTCTTTGTAAGTTGCATTTGGACCATAGTGAGAAAAATAATGATGACAGTAAGTTCTTGTTAGGAAAAGAGGAGGATCTGCATAATCTGTGTCTACAGTTAGAAAAGATGAGTTTTAGAGGTAATTTGAGGCCTTGAACAGTCGGATCAAAACCCAGATTTTTCTTCTCAATGGGGAAAACACATTCTCACATTAATTCAATTTACTTCTCTGTTTTAATGGGACAGATGTAAATGAGATGCCTGTTTCATATGGTCTTTATTAAGCTTGGTGAAACCGTGGAGCTGGGACAGACTCTTACACGGAGCATAGTTTGTGTTTTTTTTTTCCAATTGCATTGAGTGTAAATGACTTTGTGGACACCTACTGTATCTGCATCATGGATGCAATCAAAGACATATTTCATCATTTGAATTCCTTTTCGTGCCATAACATAACGCGGTTGTAAAGCGCTGGAGGAAAGCAAAACTCCTGCTTTACTTTGCTGTTTTATTTCCCTGTATCATGTCTTAAAACTGGTCCGTTAACAAGATTTATAAACCATGTAAATGCATTGTTTCTGCATTTATGAAACCCATGATATCTTGAGATGTAGTCCAAGTTTACAACTTGTTTAAAATTCCTCCCATTTTTTTTGTTAATGAGGCTTAAATCTAATGAAATTATTTTTTGTATGCAACATGAATGCCATATTTTTTATTACTTTCATATGTTTATTAAGAGATTTGAGCCACATCTGTTGGTCTTATAAAGCCCTGTGTATATTAATAAACACGTGCAACTAATCTAAGTCCCCATGATTCTTTGTAAAGTGAAAATAATATTAAACATAAACAGTTCATGAGTGGTTTATCTGGCTATATGCAACCATGTGGGTGATCACCACATTGATGTTTGTGTAAAAACCACTGAAGTTCAAGGTAGAGCTGTAGCTGTCAGTCATTGTTGCTGACAAATATGCTGATCACTCATGGATTTTCGTAAAGTTACATCTGCAAAGGTCTTTTTTTTATAATGGAATGAAAATTTTGGACTGCAAATGCTCAAACTTACCAAAGAAACTCAGAAAATCCTGGCTATTAAGAACCTGTAAAAATTATTTAGTTCAAGATTGAAATTTGGATAAAAGCCACAGATTTTCAAAGGTTTTGGACTCATTTTTTTCCGTCAAATTATTGTAAATTGTATAGCTGCAAATTTAGCATGTTTTCTGGGGAAAGAGGAAGCTTTTAAGGCTCAGACAAGATCTTTTCAGCATATATTGCTCACTGTATTTAAAATTGTTGTATTCTTGGAGAGGACAAACTGCAGAAACTGAGATGAAACTGAAGAATTCATGTTTGGAGTGCTTTGAATCAAACTGAAATTTAAATGGTGGATGTTTAATTCTCAGACTGAACAGAAGATTCCTTTTATGAAGATTATTTGCTCTGTTTTTTTTTTTTTTTTTTTTTGCTTTAATCCAAAGTGTTACCCATGAATTGAATTCAGATGCACAGCACTGAAATGTTAGCTGTTCCCCAAAATACTCTCATTGCTTAGGCATCCAATGTTTTTTGTAAATCAGCTGTGCCAGAGCGGTTCATTAAAGCCAAGTGAATACTCTAAAAATCATATTTTTCTATCATACCACTACAGATGTGCACCTCTTCCCCTCTGCAGCTCCAGAAACTTCTTATTTTCTTTGTGATGTTTATTTTTTGTTGCTTTTGTGCCATCCGGCCACTTTGAAGAGCACCAGAACAAGCCAAAATAGGATATTTTTTCAAGAGAAATTGTACTGTGTGTCAAATGTTATTTTCTGAAGCATGTTATGTGCTAATAATATACCTGGTCAATAAAAATGTATCTTATTGTCAGTTTGGGCTTTGCTTCACTGGGTTCATGTGGTCCGAACCTCAGGGTTTGTTGTTATCACTGATTATTAGTTTATTTTGCAACGTGCTGACATAGCATTTCACTCTGCTCCAACATGTGATGTTATATGATTACAGCTTTTTCAAATCCAGGCTCATACTGCCATATAAAATGTCTCATGACAACACAACATTTTATTTTGAATTTAAAGCTCCAGTGGGGAGTATTTAAGGTGGTTATGAAACTGACTAAAATTAAACATAATGCCTCTTAATGACCCACAAAAGCAAGAATACATCAGTGTTTAATGATTGGCTATTTTATACAGCTCACTATAACGTCTACATCCTATTACAGGGGTAGATGTCAGCTGAATGAATGCACTGAGCAATACTAAAATACCCTTTTTTAGGATACATGTGTGTGTTATACAGGACGATACCAGCAAAGAGACACATCCACACGGGGCGTCAACATCAGTACAACCCAAAACTCCATTACAGGAGCTTTAACTGACCCAACTGTAAAGTACACAACGTTGACAGTTAGAGGGTGGATTTAGGTATACTTTTACATATTCATGTAGCATTAAAGGTAGATATACAAAACTGTTATATTGTCTTTTCGGGTCTTCCTACAACACTTAATTAATAATGCTGCTGCTGGAGTCCCCACTTTAAGACCTAGGGGTGGATCACATCAGTCCAGTTTTGAGGTGTTACCACTGGCTTCTTGTGTGTTAAATCCTACTGCTGGTCTAATGGTTTCGGTCCAGAACACCTTAGTGATCATCTCATTCTGTATAAACCATCCAGACCACTTTGGACACCTCGAACAGGTCTGCTTTCTGTCCTTTGAGTCAGAACCATTGGACTGTTGTCAGATTGTGCCATAGGCTATAGAGGATTTGTATTGCCTTGAGATATGGTTATTTAAAGGAAGGGGAAAAGGCTTAGCCTGGAAATCCTTTGACCAGGTGAAACTAAAAGCCCTCGGGTGACCTTGTGCATCAAACAGATGTCTGCTTTTTGGAATGAGGCATGTTTTATGCCAATCTGCAGAAGGCTATGTGTGATTATGAGCCAGTGTGGGATCAAATACTGAAAATATGATGCTATTTTTAGCTTTTTTTCGTTCCCCGAAACATACGAAAATATTAGCGTCAACATTTGTAGGCTATGTATTTTAACCATTGAGCACATGTGTAGGGGAGAGTGGGGTAAGATGAGCCATTTTTTTCATATTCCAGATCACTACATCAAGGCGATCATAGTTTTGTCTCTAACTAGTGTATCTGCATATATTTCAAGATGTTGTGCATCCCTGCAAACCAACATAATGAGTGTAAATATAACTGTCTTGATAATATAGCATGCCAAAAAAAGTGGTCTCCTATGGTCAACTTACCCTGTGTATGGGGTAAATTGACCAAAGGAGCGGGGTAAGTTCAGCCGTATCCCTACCACCCCCCACTCTCCACCCCAGCTCCCCCTCTCCTTCTCTCTCCCTAAATAACAGTCAGTTACTTAGGACAGATGAAAGTTAAAACAAAGACGTTTAGCAAACTGTTAAAGCACACAAACTATCGTCATACGAGAGATCCGACACTATGACTCTCCACAAGTTGGCCGACCAGCTGATTGTTCACCTGTCGGAGAACAGAGTGCTTTATGATAAAAGACACCAATATTACAAAGAGAACGACCTGAAGGACATGTTGGATATACCGGTGAATCTGACGTCGCAACAACATGCAATCTGATTGGTAAGAAGTGGACACACAGTATGTGAAACTTGAGAGAAATCCACCGTGAAATGAAAAAATTATTGCTGCAATATTGCAGGACGGGAAAACGTCGCAGATGTGAACGCTTGTATTGACAGGATACAGGTTCGAAAAAAAATATTGACGTCCGAAATAATCGCACGACAAAAACTGTCCCGGCTTTATAGTCCATTGTATTTATTATATTACTATACTAATACATTAACTCTTCACCCTTCCAAGCTTATTTCAAAACTTGAGAGTACTGTGATCAATTTCTTTCACTATTTCCAAGCAACAGGAGGGTGGCTCAACTTACCCTTTGGCTCAGCTTACCCCACTCTCCCCTACTTTTTTTGTTTGTCTGTATGATTCCTAATTATTTTGTATTGATAGACTCGAGGTCCAGATGTAAAAGATAATATGAGTGTGAATAAAATGAATGAATAGATGACAAATGTGTCCTATGGGGGTCATTTGACTCTCAATCTGTCATGATTTGAATATAGTTTGTTGGGGTAATCTCCGTGAGTGTTTTATTTCTGGACTTGGCACGAGTGTGTAGGCGTCGAGTGAAGACTGCTGCCTGCGTGGGTTTCCCGGATGGAGCAGAGACGCCATCTTTACGCCAGTGCTAACCGGTGGGTCTTCGGTTCAGCGGAGCGACAGAGCTGTTGCTGATCCACCAACAGGAATCGCCGAGCAGCCCGTAATCCTCCCTTTCCACCGGGACGCTAGGAGCAGTCCCCACGCCCGAGCACCATGACGGACAGAGAGGACCTAGTTTACCAGGCGAAACTTGCCGAACAAGCAGAGAGATATGACGGTAAGGCTCCGAGAAGTACCAGTCACTGCAGCCCCTCTGCGCAGGGGGGCTTGCAGATGCAGGTAGACCAGTTCACATGGATTTGTTAGGCGAGAGACAAAATGGCGGAGATTTCTCCACCAAAATGAACCAGTAACCGTTTAAGTTGAAGGTTTCACTTCAAACGGAAAGCACATTTTGCTCAACGACGAGCGCTCAGGATCCCGTTACCTGTCGGCGGTTTACATTTAGCTTGCGTTAGTTAGCTAACGTAAGCTATAATTGCTAACTAGCTGGCTAGCCTTTCTTCAGCCACGACACGCGTCACGTCAAACTACTCAGAATTACAGGGGTACACGGCAGACCCCCTTCAACGTTGACTTCTACCACCTCTGAATATTTTGTTTTTATTCAACCCAAGTGGAACAAACTACTCTCAAAGGGGGCAGCCAGTTGAAACATATTCGCAAACTTAGCTATACTTAACGCCAATGTACCGCTCCCACCTAAGGCATGGGCTCCTCGAAGCGAACTGACGCGCGGCAAGATTCGATCCTAGTCATTGTGTATTGCAAGCGGCAGATTCAATGCGATAAAGAATGCGGCTATACGAAGCGACGCGAACCCAGCCAGCAGCCCCACCGTAACGCCCGTGTATTAAGTTTATTACCGAGCTGGGGAGCCGTTTGATCAAGTCAGAGCCGTTATGGGAGAAGATGTTTAAGCCAACTGGGAACTTGATGGAGTTGGCTAAGACTACTTTTTTTATCAGCACATTGAACGTTTTATTCTCAGCTCGGGTTAGCGTCAGGTAGTGGGGGATCAATAAACTGTGTAAAAGGTTACATGTGTTATTTCACATTTTTCACTTTAGTGGAGTCAGTAATGTCTGCTGGACTGGGTTCCTTGATTAATGGTCGTACCAACATGGGCGTGGCTTAAAGCATTGCCTCCACGTGATTTGTCATTTAACAATCATTACTTTAAGTAGCAAAGCTTTAGCAAACTTATAAGATGGAAAAAAAGATAATAAAAAAAAGCTTTAAAGCCCTCTAGATATGTCCCTGATATTAGTTATGCCTTTCAACTGTATTCAAGTACTGCTCTCTCTGCATGTTTTTGTTCATGTCTCTTCTGCTTGTTAAAAATTAGTTTAATGTCAGATTACATAAACATGACAGTTTTTTCTCTTTTACACGCTCTATTAATGCAAGCTTTTATTATTGAAAGCTCACAAGAGTAGCATTGACTTTTTTTTGTAAAACAGACAAATTGAGTGAGGCATCATCATAGTTATTGTAAAAAATGTTTAGTGATGCATTTTGTAACTACTGGCAGCTCTTTGCTCTTTTCATCTCTGATTGCGTAAGTCTGAAACAGCTCCGTCATGCTACTATTTAATGCATCCTTTCTATATTGATCCCGCAACAGGTTCAGGGTACAATTGTGTGATTTCATAGTGCATCATGGTGTCGTAAAGGCGTGAGTGTTAAACACAGAGGAGAGCTCTGTAAAATGCACACACACATGCACGCACGCACGTACACGCACAGGGGTGTTCCAACCTGCCTGCTCTGCTGCCTCATAATAGCTGCGTTTCCTCCAAGCAGTTTTAAGTTTGGTTTAGTGCTCCTCACTAAGGGAGTGTGTTGGCTGCTATTGGTTGGCTTGGTTTTCAACTCGGTGTATACTAAAGGAGTAGACACCCCAACAGACATAAAAATGTATCTGTATCTACTAGATAGTCATAATGTCACAAGCATGGCACATGCACTTATAAAGTATGTTTTTTCAAATTAAAAGCCTGATCCTGTTTTCTTTTTTCTTTTACCCTCTGTGCATACACTCCCCTTGTTTTTGCACAACGCTTTTACTGTCAATTTGTGTCCAGGTTAGTTACTTTGCAAAATATGTAATTTGTATGATTTTTGGAATTATTGATCACATTGGTTGTTGGTAAGCTAAGTTGAATATTATTAACTTACGAGGCTGTAATTCTTTTACAATCTTTCTCTCTCTTTGCGTCCACCTCTGTGCCCCTCTCTCTGCTCAGCTGGAGTCGGTGTAAACAGGGCGTTTGAGCACTTGAGTATCCCTGATTTGGAGAGAAGAAAAAATAGCAGGGTAATTGAATTCAGAAAGTAATGATCTACCATAAAAGCGTCCTTTTCTTCTTCTGGTGATGGACTAATTGTTGCATCTCTACTAAAGTGTGCACAGCTGCTCCTAACCTCACATCGTTCACTGTGTAACGTGTCAGGACAAGACATTGACCAAACATGGCGTCGTATCAATTTATGCCCATAAAATACATTGGCTGTGTACACAGGGAGTCTACTGGTGGAGAACTGGGGAACAATATCTGTAATAGGAAAAACAAACTGCAGGAGACAATCTGAAGCCAAGTTTTAATATCAGGGTAATTTATCTCTCAACACAAAGTCATTTAGCTCAAGCTGCCTTTTCTCTCTGTGTCAGTGCAACACACACACACACACACACACACACACACACACACACACACACACACACACACACACACACACACACACACACACTGTAAAGTTGGATAAGAGATGTGCCAAAGGGGAGTGATTTGCCTGTATCTTTTAATAGTTCTCGCTCCCTGTGAAGGAGTAAGCCCGATTCCATTGTGAAAAATAGAGATAAACACTCAAAGTCAACAGATTGCAGGGTTTTACATATTCAGAGTTGTTAATAAAATGTATTGACTGTATGATATCCTCTGTCAGTATACATCGCAGAGCCGCTGAGATGGTACCATAGCTTTTCTTCTTGTAGCATCAGAGAGTGTTAACTTGACATGCATCATAAGGACTTGACACGTCTCTCCAGATATTTGTAAAAAAGTCATTGATTAACCACCAGTATTACGTATTACATAGTTAAGATATATTATAGAGCTAGATGAGCCATTCACTGCTAAGTGCTATTCAGTGCTAAGGCTGCAAATTTTACTGCAATATGTACATTTGCACTAGAAGAAAAGGTCTGAATTTGTGCCAACGAGGAAATGATTTGGCTGCATACAGCCAGTGTTTTCTTACCTGTTTGATTGAGGCACTATGGTCATGCTTTTGTACCACTTTGGTGAGATGACGCTTTAACTAGCTGCCGGCTATCCTTAGATTTATTGGTGATCATCGAGCGATGAAAACTGCTTTTCGGATGCTTTTTAGACAACGAGAACTGTGTTATTTCAATGGATATGCATTGTTAATATTGTTTGTTTACCGTACTTTTTTAAATCAAACTTAATTATTGTGTTGTGCAGGCCCAGGGTCAGATTTGCATGTGAAAGACTTAGGCAAATATGGTCAAAGAGAATGACAGCAGATGACGTAATCGCCTGTGTTTCTCACAACAGAATAAATATGAGGACATTTATCGTAATGTCAGTTCGTTCCAATATCATGCAGCTGTAATTAGTGTGCTCTGTGTACTGATTTTTGTGTTTTGAATGTGCCGCGCACAGATGCATCATTTACCTGGATGTGAAACTTGCTTCACTCTTATTCTGCTTGTTTCTGTACTCAGTAAATCTTGCCTAGTCTAAGACTGACGTCCCCCTGTAGTTAACGCTGCTATCGCTAATCAAGTGGCTTCACATTCAGAACAGGTTGTTGTGGAAAAAGCTGATGAGTGGTGATGATTCATTCAAATAATGAGATAAAATATTTGTCACCATGATGATATGTAGAGTTCCCACTCCTGTGTGTCATTTTAGCATCTAAAACAAATCAACCTTAGCTTTCATGTCTTCTCACCCCACCTTCACCCGTGCAGCTATCAGGATTGTTTTATTGCAGGGCTTAACAGCTGCTTTGACAGTGATGCAGTTTGGTAGCAAATTAATGACAAGCAGATTTGCTGCCACCCACTTGTTAAAACTCGTTTTTCAAATCTGCACCGAAGAATCAACAAAGCCTTCTCATTTCAGTGCTCGACTGCAAATGTTGGCCCATGAAAAGAGAGAAAATATGAATGCTGACAAGGCCTGATTGGCTACTGATTGTTGTGAAAAGCACCAGCTTCCTCATCCCCAAGTGTGCATAAATAAATACGTTTGTGGTGGGTGGTTCTTCAGTCAAAAACAAATTAATTGTCTATTTCTTGACTATTTCAATCATCAGTTGCACTAGTTGCATTAGTTTTACTGCCAGGACCACACAGCGTGCAACTTTGAAGACCGACTGTAACCTTCTTTTGTAGCAACCCAAGAAGTCAGTTTCCATAAGAGGGTTAAAGAGTTGCAAGGTGGAAGGAGCTATTTTAGGCTTCCCCAGTTGAGGGAGTGAGTCTCATCCATTTTTCCCAAAGACAATTTTGCATTATTCACAGTTCAAGCACTTCTACAGCTTAGGTCAGCATGAAACTCTTTAATCATGTGGATGAAAAATTCACAGCTCCCCTCTGGAGCTCTGATTGAAAAGGTGAAGGGAGAAGCCCATGTGCATTAAAACTCCAACTCCCTTGTGGCATTTTGGCGAGAAAGGTCAAATCATTGAGCCAAACCGCTTCTCCTCCCACCATTAATGACAGTTTGGATGTAAAGATGGTGGTCATGAGTTTGTTAATGTGGACTTGAGTGTCCTGGTTCAGGGCCTTATCCGCCTTTCCATCATATTTGGGATATGGGGTTAACATGCACAAGTAAAAACGTGACTTGCACTTGTGTGCTGGTTTCTGGTTGTCATCTCTTGAAGCTTGTAAAGCTAACCTTAGCTAAATAACTTGGCTAGATTGTGTGGGTCTCTCTGTAAAGGCTCAGCATCTGTTGTACTAGAGAAGTCGACATTAAGCAGCAGACGGTGACCAAGCATCTTGTCAAAATTTGAGACGTGCTGGTTCAGAGCTGCTTCTTTTACCTCTGATGTTTAGTCATGTAGTATACTTGTAAATAATGTCACATGCCTTCCTCTCCTGTATGTGTTGGGAAACTACTGTCTTATATGATTCTTCAAAACTCAGTTTCAGTGTTGCTCTGGATTTAAGATGCTGTCGTTGCTGCCACCATGTTAATCCTGCCTGTACGCCACTTGGCAGATGCTGCCCCCGAATATGATGCATTTTTTACTCCCAGCCTGGATGACTGGTCTTGTCTCTATGGTAACATTCAAAGTGGTAAGGATGTTAGAGGTTTAGTAACCAGCACCTATTGCTACAGTTACAGCCAAAACATATTGAAGGAGTCAAAGTTAGGATTATGGCTGCACAGTAAATTGATGTGCTGTTGTTACTATGATGAGAGCTTACACAGGAGCAGAAATGGAGGGGTCTGGCATATGCAGATGTGCATTAGTATTAAGAAATTGGGAACTGATTCCTTGTTTTGAGGGTCTTCAGTCAAACTTGATTTTAGCACATTAAAAAAGAAAATAATAAATATATTTTTCATCTTCAGCATTGTTATTAAATTTCTGATAAGGGTTATACAAATAAATGTTACTGTATGTGATGGAAGTTCGTATCCTGTAAACTCAAAACATTAAAAACCGTCGTGTATTTTCATCACTTTGCCAACTTGTAAGTGTGAAGTATCCAAATAGCAATTTTTAGCACCTGAAGGCTGAACCCTGATTCGAAATGATGCCCGCCACTTTAGTCAGTGTGAAACTGCGCCCAGTTAATTCCAGGCGTGTTTACTGCGTTATAGTGGCAAAGCTTGTGATGCTGAGATTATGTGTAAAAAAGCACAGCGGAGGTCATTAGGTTTGTGTGAGAGCAGGTCGGGCTGCAGGGGTTAAGTGATCAAAGCAGCACAGTGCTCCTCCTGGATTTCCACCAGCGTGTATCAGGTTTCTCCAGCGTGCTGCATCGAGCCCCGCTATTGGCCTCTGCAGATAACACCACCCTGTCTGGAAGTTTAAGGCCCAGTGATTGACACTCAGCTCTCAGCTTCAGGCCAGCAGCTTTGGCACAAGAGGTGTGACCGGTCTGCAGCATGATTCACACTTTGACTGAACAACTAAATAAAAGATCATTACTGTCTTTTTCCTTTCAGCAGCACATCACACAGTATATATCACACACATAGCATATAATAGTATATGCTTTGGTTTATTTACAAATGAAATATTAAACAATACTGTTTTGATATATTGAAGTGTTTAGCATGCTGCATCCCTCCTTTTTACATGATTAAAGAGGCTCCATAATGCGTCTGTTTTATGTCACTCTACATGGAAGTCGAGTCCTCGTCTTTGCCCTCGATTTTTCATTCATTCCTCACATCCCAGCCCACTGCATCACCTTGACGATGAAGAATCGAAAGCATCAGACAGATGTCACATTGGTTTTAGCTGAGTGCTCCGGTTCGTTATCCTTGAACAGTTCCCAGAATCACTCCGTACATATCTATAGGAGGTGAATCTGTGCATTAGAGGAGCCATTGTTGGGCAGAGCTCCAGCCACTCCATCAATAAAATACTGGGGATGACAGAAGCTTTTAAAGGCTCTGCATTGTGATCTTAAATCCTTGTTAATGGAAGGACCAGCTACCTATTTACGTTTAAGAGAATGGATTTATGTACCTCTTCTTTACCTCAAATTGTAATGACTCTTTTACAGAAAGCGGCTCCACATTTCCTACCAATTAGTGATAGATTATTTCCAGATTACATCATATGTTAAAACTGGCTATATAAGCAAGTTGATTTGGCTCCTCCCATCAGTCCTGGAGGGGTAAAACAGACTGGAAACAGGAATGGAGATTACTGGCAATGATAAAATTACAGAAGAGATAAACAAAATGATTTTTATCTGTTATCTTTAAACACATTTTGTTTAGGGTCTTCAAAGTGGATGCAAAGTTTGAATCAGTCTTAAAACTCGTGGGGAACTTTTGGTTTGTATCAGCTTTGGTGCCCCCCAGTGGACAAAGCAGTCTTGCTCTAAAGTCGTAACAGAGGAAAAGAAAATGTCACCCTGTTGACTTTTGGCAAATTTATTAATTACTGTAAGTTTGTACAAACAAGGCTGTTTCTTCAGCTGCTTGGTCTGCTTTTGTTTTGTTTTTGTAGTCAACTAACACTCATGGTGATTATTGTTGAATATCTTGAGTGTCTTCCTCATCAGTTGAGCTGTTTTTTGATCTACAAAATGCCAGTGAATGGTGAAAAATGAAGATTAGTATTTCACACAAACATCTACAGCAAATATATTTACTTAAATATTTGCTAATCAAGAGTTTTAATCATCATACTGTTGTGATTGATTTGACTGCTTGTCTGTGATCACAGCTGTACTCTTGAGTTTTATCTATTAGAAGCTGTAGCTCGCATATCTGCAGCACGAACCATTTGAAACTTAAAAGAGAAGCAGGACTCTGCCTGAAGTGATAGGTCTTAGGAGAGACCAATTAGTGGCTAATCATTGGTCGATTATAGCCGGAAAGATAACAAGTGATGTAGAGGTGTGGTGGTGAGACTCCTAGTGGGACCAGTCAGTTCATTTAAGCTGAACAGACACTACAGAAATGAATCCTGGTTTAATATGCAGAGTTTTTAGCAATGATGCGCTTTGATTTTGGTAAAAAAAGAAGATAAGGTGAGAAGTAAAGATGGTCGTCACCTTTGGGAGGGAGCAGTAGATGGTGTGATATATTACCGCCTTCAATTTCCCTCAAAAACCATTCAGGACTCGCCCTCCTTTAAAGTCATGTCTAGCAAGAACAGAACATACTTAAGTAGAGTTCAGAAAATTCACCACAAATACAGAGTAGACTGTTGGAGAACAAAGAAGCCTTTTAGATCAACTTGATTCAATGATTTGTGTGATATCCAAAAGAGAGCTTCTCATCTATCAGTAACCAAGATATCTATACTCTTGAACTCTCATGACTGCAGGTTGTCAGCACAATAGAAAACTTTGTCACCCACTTATAACTTTACATGGCTATTTGTTAAAAAAGGGAACGATAGGAGAAATACAAAAAAAGTAATGGGCCCAACATAGACCCCTGAGGTACACCGTAGGTCCAAAGATGGGGACGAAGAGGGTGGTTGTGCTCTGAACCTGAGAAGCTGTTGCAGAGTTGTCTATGTTGTTGGTAAGTCTATTAAAATATAAACTTTATTAACCGCAGAGAACTCACACAAACTTAGAGAGATATCACCATAATTATGCAGGAATACCACTGAAGGCAGATTTTATTTAGTTTTGTGGAGGTCGACTTGTTAACAGTACTCTGAGAAAATAAAGTGAACTTAACGGTGCTATGTGGAAGAGTCCTTCAGGGTTCTTGAACTTTTTGGTTAAATTAATTCTGTCTCCGTGGGTCTTTTCAGAAATGGTGGAGTCGATGAAGAAGGTGGCCAGTATGGATGTGGAGCTGACGGTGGAGGAGAGGAACCTGCTGTCTGTAGCGTACAAGAATGTGATCGGAGCCAGGCGAGCCTCCTGGAGGATAATCAGCAGCCTCGAACAGAAAGAAGAAAATAAAGGAGGAGAGGACAAACTAAAGATGATCCGAGAATACAGGAAAACGGTCAGACTCTGTTATTATCCTACACCTATTGAGCGCTTGCTGGAATAGAGAGCAAGGACAGCCCAGATCTGTGTATAAACATTGTCGAATCTACATTATTCTCAAGGTTTCAGTTTGTGAAGATTTCCCTTCACAGTTAGAAGCTTCAGAAAACCTGAAATCTTTGAATTATGGTCCCTTTGCGGTCTGTTTTTCGGTTTCCCCTCTAAAACAGTGAAATGACATTAAGCAGCTGCAATCCTTGTGTGATGTCTGAAACAGATTCCAACAAAACGTTAACAGTCTTGTGTTATTTTTGGGCTCAACACTGATTCTCTCTTTGATTCGGCTCTGGAGGGGAATCAGACCCGAATAGGTTGGATTATAGAGCAAATATCTCCTGCTTTCGATGCTAAAAATACAGTTTTGAATTAGTCACAGGAATGAAAACACAAAATCCAAAGTGGCTGCCTCCTTCGTGTCTTCTTTCACGGCGAGGTGTGGTCGCTTCACTCTTCAGGAAATCTCATTCCCATATCCAGCAGGCACAATGCCAGAGATGCTCTTGTCTTTTTGGCTGCACTTTTTGAAAGTGCTCCTCCTCTGACCTCTCCACTTTGAGAGGAAATGGTGAGATTTCACAGCCCACCAACACTTGTCTGAGTGAAATAATGAGGTAGGCAGCAACCATGAGTCAGCTTTAAATCAATTTCTCTTCCCTCTGCTGCAGACCGGCTCCCAGCCAATGAGTTGACTGACAGAGTTAGGAGAGAGATTTCATATGTCTGATGGAAGATAATAGATGTCTCTCACAGTTCAGCATGTGGGGTTTATGTTTTTGTACCTTTACCGAATCCACACGCCGGCACAAATACTGAGAATTTCTACTTCAGCTTCGTTGTTTAAGGTCTGTCTGGGGACAAACCTTCTGTCGTCATGCCAGAACTTAACATTACAATTAGAAGGATATCCATTAGAGATACTGAGACATAGAGAGTCTAAATGATTCTGAACTCGCAGTAGAAAAAGATTCCAAAAACTGGATTCAAGATGCTTTTTACTGTGAAAGGATTTCTTTTCTAACTCCAAACTCTGTGAATGCAATTTCCACCAGGGGGCTGTTTTATTTGCAGGACATGTCTCTGCATGGCGATGTGGAAAATGTCAGATTTTAGATGGTTGTCACCGGCCCTGTCACACAATACCCAGACATCCTCTCGGTGACAAATGCTTCCACTGGAACTGACCCAGACTCTCCCTTGAGCACCTCTGCCGACTTTAAAATATTGTTTCTGCGGCGGTAGACGGAATATTTAAAAGGATGATCGATACTTGGAACAAAAACAGAGGAAATATTGATGTTTTTTAATTCATTCGTTTGACATTAACAATGTGACGTTCTCAGACGAGTTGAGTCGCATAAAGAAGCTTTGAATTGCTCCCAAACTTTTATTCCCCGTGCAAAAGGTTCTGTGTGACCCTACGAGTGACTGTCAGCCTGATTTGTGTCTTTCTGATCTGCAGGTTGAGAAAGAGCTGAAATCAATCTGCAACGACATTCTGGATGTACTGGACAAGCACCTCATTTTAGCTGCAACGACGGGAGAGTCCAAGGTTTTCTACTACAAAATGTACGTATCTGAAGTTTCCTCATTCAAACCATTGTTCTGCAGACAAACCAGAATTTAAAGATGTAAAATAAAACATTCAGATCAGTAACAAAATAATGTGCTTCTATGACCCCATGACAAACAGGAGAATCATTCCTTTGCTCTAAAAAAAATAAGGACAAGGTGTGCACACCGACCAAGTATGCATGTCAGATTAGTGCTTAACAGTTCAGTGAGGAACATCATGTGCCTGTGAAAGAAGACTTCAGTCAATAGAGCAACGAGTTCAGAGTGATTGAATGGGTAACGTCACAGAGGATCCCTGTGTCGTCAGTTTACATGGTGACAAAGGCGTGGTGTTCGGATAAGATTTTAATCGGAGACACGGTTTTCAAAGTTTGTTTTCAGCCGCCTTAACCACAATGTCTATTGAAACAAAGCCGAGTCAAGAATGACCAAAATGCAAATTCTAAACTGCGCTAAGAACTTGAGCAGAAACACGTGCTGAGCTCCACCAAAATTTGACACGTACGATAGAAATGAACAATAAAGAGAATCGTCAAAGTGTCCCCTCCCAATCACCAGGTAGAATCCAATCCAGTTGTGTGACGATATAAAGAATCCTCATGCTGTTGAATGTAAACTTGACTGGTGCTTTACCAAGTCTTGTTTTTTTCTTACTGTTTAGCTTGGAGCCACAGGCCCGTTCCTTCTCCTGCACAGACCAGAGCTGCTTTAATAAACAAACTCAAGTTCTCGACGGTCTTTGTGAATCATCTCAATCATTACCACACAGGAACATTTAACCAACTATTTTTTGAACTACCCCCCGTCCGGCTGCCTCTGTTATTGTGAGGGTTTAATTATTAAACTATATCAGTGAAATTCTGTCTGATCGTCAGACTTTTTAAACTTTCTTTTTTCTAATGGCTTCAATAGTCTTTTGACTCTACTTCTAAAATCACAGCAGGGCTCTTTTCATTTACTCGGCTCAGCAAACTCTGAGCAGTAGACGCTGTTCTGCATCCTCGGGTAACTCTTAGCTTGAAATGTGTCACTGCAGCTCTGCCCAGCCTGTATTAAACATCTACTCTGAAGAGTAATGTTTTACTTTTCAAACTGACTGACTATCAAAAATCAAGCTTTAACAAACATTGTATTTCTAAAGAAACTCTTTATTTTTCATTATATTATTGACAGTAGGTTGAAGAATGGTATAAAAACACAACTATCACTGATCTTTGTGTGATTACTTTTCAAACTCTGCATCCCGTAGATGAGATGGAAACCAAAACTATTTGTGCATTGAAGTGTTGTGATTTGATCTGTACGTTTGCATAAACGTCTCCTGTTCTTTCCCGATTTCAGGAAGGGAGATTACCACAGGTACCTGGCAGAGTTCGCCACAGGCAACGACAGGAAGGAGGCAGCAGAGAACAGTTTGGTTGCGTACAAAGCTGCTAGCGACATCGCCATGATCGAACTCCCTCCAACGCACCCCATCCGCCTTGGACTGGCCCTTAACTTTTCAGTTTTCTATTATGAAATCCTCAACTCGCCAGACCGTGCATGCAGGTAGGTGTGATCCTCTTCTGCTGAGGGACAGCACAGATAAAATACTGCGAGCCGTCACCCGGTGCCAAACAGGTGACAGAAAAGGGTTGCACAGTTACAGGCGAGCTCAGGCAAGAATTTAGAAAAGGGAGCAATAGAGACATTTTGTCTCAGGAGCAACTGAGGACCAGACTAGAACCAACAGACTGACTCCTCTTTGGATTTATCCGAGATCCTTAATAAAGCTACATATATGTATGAGCTGGTAGAGTGTTCAAAAGGTGGTTTAAGATGAATTTAAGGTTTATTCTGCACACTAGAATAAATACTCCACAACATGAAAGCTAAAATGCTGAAAGTGAAGAGCATTTAACAACAGCTGGACAAAATCAGAATCAACTTTCATGGGTCTCATGTTTGGTCAAAATCCTTGTGTTTAAAAAAAAAAACAAAAAAAAAAAACGCTTGGACATAAAAGTGAACTGTGTGTCGCAGCTGTTGTCTGACACTTCTGCAGGATGTTGCCTTAATGATTTTGGCTCTAAAGAGCAGCAGATAGCTCATTTGAATCCAGACAAATAAGATTTTACGCCCCCCGATGAGGAGAATCAAAAACAGGCAGATGTTAAAATTGTAAAAATCCTGAAAACAGCCGGTGTTTTACAGCCGACCGTTTCTGACTGTGTGGTCTTGTGTCCTCTCTGCCGACAGTTTGGCGAAGCTGGCGTTCGACAATGCCATCGCAGAACTGGACACGCTGAGCGAGGAGAGCTATAAGGACTCAACACTTATCATGCAGTTGCTACGTGACAACTTGACACTATGGACCTCAGATGTGCAGGGAGATGGTGAGTTTTCGCTCAGACTGCAGCTGCACCTTTAAGTCATCTTTCTTCCCGGTGACTGATGATCGCTTTAGGGGTGGATCCGGAAGTCTCTGCAGTTTTCTCTGGTTGTAAATTCCTGACCACAGGTTGCTTTATCGGCCCACAAAACTTCGATATGTGATGGTGGTCAGCAGTCAGCTTTCAGATCTTTGCTCCCTCACTGATTCTGCAGCTGATTTCTTGCGTCAGACCTCTGATCGCCATTAGCTGCAGCTTCTATTAAGCTCATGACAAAAATCAAATCTATAATGTTCCTCTGACACCAATTTTCTTCCCTCTGAAATTGAATCCGTGTCTACTTGAGCACATCACCCGTTCACTGAGGAGGTTTTCTTAAAGGAAAACTTGCTGACAGTGCGAGCTTTTTTACAGCCCTTTTACCAGCTCAGCACTTTTGCCGTCGGCTCCTGTTGTGCGATGAATTGACCAGAATAAGTCATTTTTAATCAGTCTTCAGCATCACTGTTTGCAGTCGTAATCTTTCCCCGTTTGGCTCTAACCCGCATTTTCAGGCGTTGGAGCGAGGACAAAAATGAACTTCACCTGACTAGAAAATGTGTTTTGACAGCATCCACCACTCAGAGGTGTGTGTTGAGCATTTCTGACGCGAGTATAAAAGTGTCAGTCTCATTAAAAACCAAACATGTCTGGATATCTGAGGAGGAAGGACTAATGTTTTCTCTAACTGTCCTGTCACAGTGGTTTCCCTCTCTCAGCTCTCACTTCTTGCTCTAATCATCTCTCATCTCTCCCTCCTCCTTCTTCTATAGAGTCTTAAGGACCGCCCTCTTCCTTCACTCTTCCTCCATTATAGAAGTTTACTTTGTAAGTCATTCCTCCTGTCTCACTGTCACTCCTGTCTCACCTCCCCGACGTCCCCCACTGACCTCCTCCGAGCCTTGTTGAATGTTTTTGGTCTGGAGATGTTTGCCGTTTGTCCGCTTCACTGAAGGATAACAGAGCTGCAGTTCGGTTCCTCACATTCTCTTCACTCTGCTTCTGCACAAGTCGAACGGGAGTGCTGTGTGTTTGTGTCTTTGGGGTTTTTGCAAGTCGGTCGAAGTCTCAGCCTTGATTCCAAGAGGAAGTGTGTACACCGTGTACTCACAGAGCCGATCCATGTCTGAGTCTTCAGTACATCCCAGGAGTGTCTCCCCGCTCTAGCCACACCAACAGGGCCTGCACCTAAAAAACACATGTCAAACTGAGCAGCAGAGTTCAGTCCAGACGTGGAGTCAATCACAGTAAAAGCACAAAAGGTCCTTTCAAAATAAAACACCCTGTACAGACTCCTGGCTGCATATCGGATCATGATAAGACAGGGGTGTCAAACTCGACCACAGCAAGGGCCACAATCTGGGTTGAAGTCTAACCTGGGGGCCAAACAGAGTCAACATTTCACCAAAACTGTCAACCTCCTTTTTAAAAAATATGTAACAAAAATAGCAATGACTATAAATCATTTGGAAATTTAAAAAAGATAAGTTTAAAAGCAATCTGAGATAGAAAATTTTGAATTTTTTATTCTATTTTTATTTATTAGTTTAAAGGATCAGAGTGTGATATTACAAATAGAAAAATAATGCTTTTAAAGAGCAAATTCATAAAGAGAATGTCGAAATCAGGTTTAAAAGGTCAAAATATGACCTAACCTTTAAAATTGGAATCTAAAGTATAAAAATGACACAAGTCTAAATACTGAGTTGAACAAAATCAAAGCATGAAATAAAAAAATCCAATCATGTTTGACTTGAAATTGAAAACATGAAATAAAACACCAAATATTGTCTCCCCACATTCTTGACTATTTATCAAATCTTTCTTACTCTTTAATTCCCCAGATTTTCGTGTCTTATAAAGGACATTTTAAATAATGGTGCTAAAGTTTACATTATTATACTGGAGGAAATCTGCAGACTTCATACTGGTGGGCCAATAATAATACAAGTATAATATGATCTTGTGGGTCTAACATATTTATCTACATTTAAACCTGACAAAAACCTAATTTTCTAAGCGTGCTGCGCACTCACTAACGGTAGAAGCATAAAAATCACAAAGAGTAACATCCAGAGGAAGGTAAATGGACCCTGGGCCGCTCTCTGGGTTTAAACTTCAAACGTGCCTCTCGGTAAGGCGGAGTACGTGGTGTTTGATGGAGCAAAGCCGTGGCGCCGACAGACCACGATGCACCCGCTCCCAGTGGAAATCAGGGGTCCAACTCTTCTGACTGCTCATGTTGCTTCAAAACTGCAGGTTCGGTTCAAGTCCTCTAATAACACTCAGGTGCTTTCATTGACATCCAGGCTCATAATGAGGTTGAAGCCAAACTTTGATCAATCCTGTTTTGAAGAGAAATGTCTCTCAGATGTTTTTTTCAAGAATTTATAATTGTAATTTGTTTATATGGAAATCAGTGAAAGTCTGATCTTTTGGCGTGTAGTTTGTCTTTGCCCACCTGCTGCCGACACACGGCTGTGACAGACGACATAATTATTTATAATGATTTTCCTCTCGGTTAAATATTTACAGCCTTTGTCTGCACACGAAGTCAAACTCACAGACATGTTTTCATTTTCTTTTAATGAGGTCGTCTCTCCGTGACGGATATTTTTTGTGAATTTTTAACAGGCAGTGTGATTTTACTTTTCCATTTAAGACTCTCAATATCTCAACGTCTTCAGATGAGACAACCAAGAGTAATCTATCAGTGCCACATGAGAGTACACTTCAGCAGCACAACCGTCTACAGTGCTTCACACATCTTAAAATGTAATATAAAAGTCTTCAAAAATGATCTAAAACAGAAGCTTAAATGAAATAAGACTGCTAAATATGTAAAGATGAAGGTGTTTTTAACGTAAAGAGAAAAAAATCATCAGTTCATAAGGAGTCCATGAAGTCCTTCGATTAGAAAACATCATTAACCGTCTCTGAGTCACTGCAGTCGTGGATATAGACAGTCAGCTCCTGGGCACACGTCACAGCACACGTCAGCCCCACTGAACCCAGCAGGTCGTGTCTAGTTAAAGCCGAGTTTTGAACCTGTGAACGCAGCTTTTTGAAGTGTGATTATAACAGGCGAACAACATGCGACGCCGCAGCGGCGTCTCCCGTGGCTCTCTCTCACCCAGCTAGCTGCGGCGCTAATGAGCACTGTTACGCTTTCTATTTTCATCGTGATGGATTCTGCAGCCTTTTGTTATTCCTGCCTGCTTAATTCTTCATTACACGGATGGCTGTGCTGTCTCCATGGCAACCCCTCTAAGCAACCAGCCGCACAGGTTCACGTGGCTTTTTTACCCTTTTTTACTCGATCTGACCGGAGCTTGTTGTGAATTAACTTAAGGTCACTGGACTGTTTGTTGACTCAGTCTTGGGGAAACGCTGCAGTTTACTTGAGACTGTTGTGATTATTTATCGTGTGACTGACTGATTAACACGCTGAAGAGCTCATCCTGCCGCCTCCGTAAAAAAAGAGTGCTGTTCTTTTTTTGTTTGTTTCTTCTCTTTCTCTTCTTTCAGGTGAATAAACCTGCATGTTAATAAATCTTTCCCAGAAATCAACAAAAGATCTGCAGAGAGAGAGAGCAGCTTTGAATAAAATAAGATCCAAACTTTTGGCAAAATTTAAAAGTATCACCCCTGGATTTGTACCACCGGAGGACTCTCTGATAATGTGCATATGTCAAGGACGTGTGCTCTGGATTTCAAGCCAATCAACCATGTTAATAATTCGTAGAGTAGACACCCCGGGTCAAATCACTCTCCATATTTCGGGATTTTGAAAACACTTTCCTCTGTTCAAAAATGAAGCTTTTAAGGTCGAACTGAGTTGTAATCCACCTGAATTTTGAATTCTCCGTCAAACAACGCCACAGCGGACACGCTCTCCTCCTCTTCTCTCAGGTGTTTTATTTCTTTCTTCTTTTATTTTCACTTTATTTTGTAGATAAACTAAGATGCACTTTGTCCCGACACCTGGGTTTGGGTCAGCATGTTTGAAGTGTCACATGGTCACACCAGAAAACACACGTGCACGTTCTCGACTCCACTAATCCAGGCTGATACGCTGCGTCACGTCACTGCACAGAGAATTAATCGGCAACTATTTTGATCATGAAGTTTCCATTAAATACTTAACAGGCTTTTTTTGCAGCCGTCAGATGGAGATGAAAAAAAAAAACATTTACAGTGTGGAGAAATGTTCTTCCCTCTGTTCTTTAAATCAGCTGATGATCAAAATAGTTTCAGATTAATTGTCTTTCTGGGGCCGATGGTTTCGTCTGTTGAATATTTGCTCACTTCTCTCAGCTCTGTAATCTAACAGCAAGAGAATCCTCAAAATTGGAGTTGGTACTCTGCAGGTCTACAGAGTCTGGTTCATCTGCTCAGCTTCATCTCCCTCTTCTCAAGTCTCATTATATTTAAAGTCGTTTCTGTTTTTGTCTTTTTCTCAGGTGAAGAACAGAACAAAGAAGCACTGCAAGATGCGGAGGAAGAGACCCAGTGAGACTGAACAACACGAGACAAGCCCTCCTCCTTCTCCTCTTCTTCTTCCTCCTCTTCTTCCTCCTCCTCCTCCGTTCTTTCTCTCCCCCCCCAGTACTAGCTCTTGTCCCCTGTCACAGTTCTCAGCTGGGTTTATCCTGCAGCCCACTCTCTTTTTCTCTTCCCTCTCCTCCATTTTCCCTCCATCCCTCCTCCTCCGCCTCCTCTTCCTCGTATGCACGTCCTCTCCCGGGTCTTCATCTCCACCCCTCCTGGGGTTTTACCTTTTCTTTCGCAAGCCTGTACCCTTCAAGGTCCCTGTCCTCTCTTTTACTGTTTTTATTTCGCTTTACTTTGCTGTATCATCCGTTGCCAAGTACGCTCGCCTGTATTTGTAACACGCACATATGCAAGAGTTTATTTAAAGACGATTCTTTGCTGTTTTTCCTGTGTATGTGTGTTTATGAGAAATATCTTGTCCATGCTTCAGTCAGTCAGTCTGAAACATTTCAGTTCTGCGAATTGAGGAAATCGAGCAGTGATGGGAGGCTTAAAAGGGATGCATAAAAGCTTTTAAGAAGAACTAAGTGCCCTCTTTACTGTGTGGTTACCAAACCCTGCTCCTTCAACACATCGTCGGTGTTATTTAGTTTTTTTATGAAACGACAAAAGGCAGAATGTCCCCCCTCTCCGAGCATCACTCTGACCTCTATCCTTGTCCACTCTCAGACCAAGTATTGTCGCTGCGAGGCTGTAGAGCTTTGGCTAATGGCAGATAGTTAGGTAATGGCTTTTTAGCAGACAAATGTGCGCGTGTGTGCGTGGGAGGGGAATGCTCAAACACTCTGATTGTAACGTAATGCAGTTTCTGCATTGGCACTATATAAGAAAAAAAAACCAGTTTGGGAAATAGAGGCCTGCTGTATCTTTACTCCCCTGATTCTTTCAGGTTTCCTCGTCTCGACTCTCTCTTTCTCCGACTCCTCTCTTTCTCTCTCTCTGTTTCTCTTTCTCTCTCTCTCGCTCATCCTCTCTTCCTTCTGTTCAGTATGTGTAACGTGAATCTGATTTGTACTACTGGATGTTCTCACCGGAGCCACAAGTACCATCTGTATTCTTACTGAAACACAGCATGGAATTAACATTAAACTTCAAATTGAGAAATGTTCAATCCACATGTCTGAGATGTTTTATTCAGCCTTTGAATAATGTTGAAAGACGTTTCATCAGAGAACTCTTTAACCACCAGGGGGCAGTGTAGGCATGCAGCAAAACAGACTTGTAATGCAGTGATTCTGAAATTATTCTGACTGGTTTGAGACAATCCGGTAAATCTTGATTAAGATATATAAAAAACTGACTTTAAAGTGAAGTACTTATGTGATTTAGACCCAAATTAAATCAACCACTCACTTTAAAATAGTTGTTTAGAGGAAAAGCAGCCACTCTTAGAGAGAATGTATTCATCTCACATAAGCTGTGGACAGTATGGGTGAAAAGATGGCGATCAAATGTTAAAAGTAAATTTTCTTTGCAGTATTTTTCTATTTCTTGTTAAATTGGACACGTTTCACATGATCAATTACTGATCATGGCGCCCCCTGTGGGAGGAGACAAGCTTCATGTTAAATTCAGGCTCATTAAAAGAAATCACATTGAATATATGCTGGTGTTAACATATTTCTAGTTATCACACTGTGTATCATTTCTACTATTTCCTGAGAGGAACTTGAGCTTGTCTGCTGATCTGGTCGTTGACTTTCCAGAGGTAAATATATCACTCACTGTGAATATTTAAAATTTTGCTCTCTTTTGTCTCTTAAGCAGACATCAGCGAAAAATGTGCCATGCATTTTTTTATGTTACACATCTGTTCTATTCTGGCTTTATCGAGCAGAAGCCACCTTTTGACCAAACTCCTGTTTGTTTAAGTGAAAGAAAACGTCTACAGTTTGGGAGTATGTCTCTGAGAAGAAAAAGTATCTTCTTGCCGCTGTCCTAATCTTATTAGGAGGCAGAGATAATTTTGAGTATTTGTCTCAGGGGCACAGATGTTTTATCAGCTTATTAAGCGTCCGCAGGTTGTCCCAAATTGAGTCAGAAACCTCCAGGAGGCCTCGCCGTTTGATCCTGAAAACTCAGAGCATTAGTGAATGTTATTTTTAGCACTTTATCCCACACTTAATGGACGACGCTGGGCGTTGGCTTAAGGAACAGTTTGGATTTTAAGTGTCCTGCGGTTTGACCCTGATCGGGAAAGTGAAGGTTCAACATGAGTTTAAGTTTTTAACGACTGTTAACGCCTGAATTTTACCATGAGAGCTAACTATTTCACATCACATTATTACGTTATTATTTGTGTAATCAATCTAAATTGTATTCCCAAAACTTAGAGTTTAAAGATAGCAAGAGTAAAATGAAATCTGAAAACTCTACTCGAGCTCAGCTAAAGGAGTTTGGTGTCTTTTTATAGCTGCATTCACACGCTGCGCAAGGGAATAATTGAAGTAATGAATGCGAGATTTCTCATTGTGCTCATACAATTGATGGGAGACGAGCAGTTTCTACTTCAGGAAAGAGGCTGTACATCCAACACAAGCTACAAATCTGTGTTATAATCACAGCCACGTGTCAGAGGAGAGCTCTCGTTCGGGCTTGAGCAGAACGTGTACAAGCTGCTAATCACTCTGACGATCAAAGTATTTCTGTCGTTTAAAGAGAAACACCAGTGTTACCAATACAGTCTGGAGGAAGGGGTTGTGATTGACTTAAAGTGCATTAACACAAGCAACTACACTGTTTTATGTCGATACTGAGGCAGCCAGTCAGGGTTCAGGGCTGACCCCCTTCCACTCCTCAATAGATGAACATCAGACGCTAACACTTTACATTAAGGTTCCTGTGATGAGCATTAATTAATAGTTAATTGAACCACTTCTATGATGCTTATTAAGGTTTATGTGTTAAAAGGGTTCAGTGAAGCGTAATTAACACAATTATTATTGGATTAACGACCTTTATTAACCTTAATGAGACGGTGTGCCCACTTTAATAAATGATCTATTTATCCTAACGAAGCATATATTTATTGTCTTATTCATGGTCAATTAATATGATTTAATCAAAGCTAATGAGTGGTCTTTAAATTGTTGACAAAATTGCAGTGAGTGCTTTTAAAGGCAATAAACATAATAGAGATTACAGAGTTATCATGTTTACACCAACTACTGTCTATACTGCCATTAGGATGAAGTTCCCTTCAAGTGTGTCAATTTCAAGTCAATTTCATGTCAATAAACATTCTGTTGATGTTTAATGAGCAGTAGTAAATGTGCTAATTATGCTCTTATTAACACTTTTAAATGTTTATAAGCACCGACTTAAGTCTGGTAAGTGGCTTATTAACTATTGATCGAGTTGGTAACACTTTACAATAACCATAACTTATAAATGGTAAATAGACCATTAATAAATGGTAAGCAGATAGTTTGATAGTTCAATGTTAAATAATCATTTATAAATAGCGTATAGACCATTGATAAATGATAAATTTTACAATTTTAAAAACCTAAACCTAACCCTAACTTTACCATCAGGGCCGGCCCTAGCCTTTTTGGTGCCCTAGGTGAAATTACTCAATGCCCCCCCAGGACATGTTCGAGTGAAAGAGGACGTCTGTTCATTGGACATCAGTGTGTTGAGCTAATGTTTACTTTATTCCAAGCTAGCTAGCTAAAACATGTTCTTTACACAAAATGATATGTCATATGTTATATGAAGATACGTTGACACTACGTTATCTTTATATTTGGACTCCTTACCTCCTCTTTTCTCCTCTCCTGAAACTGTGTGGCCAAGAGCTTAGCTGTCCCTTCTATGATTAAAAAATCGTAAATAAAATCACCAATCCTATTCTGACTCCTCGTTCGCTGACTTGAGATGCACCCCTGCATCATGTGACTTGCCAAGTGACAAATATAGTTACTTTGTCTTGTAATTTTATTTGTTATTTTCGAGACAGAAAAGTAAAGGGGGGCGCCAGTGGGCATCATGATTTTATCTTCATTTTTTTCCCAAGGGGGAAGGGCGCTGGCAGTGCGCCCCTCCAGCAGATGGCGTCCTAGGCGACCATCTATGTCGCCTATCCCCAGGGCCGGCTCTGTTTACCATAACCATCTAAGTAATGTTTATAGGTGGCCTATTAACCACTTTATAATCATTGACAAAGTATTACAAACATCAGTTGCAACTTTACAATAACCATCTAAGTGATGTTTATAGATGGTTTAAAAACAAATATTAACCATTTACAAAGTGCTACTGACACACATTTTAATCTAGATGTTTTATAACCAAATTCAAACCCCATATAAACCTTTAATAAATAGTCTGTTAATAATTAATGAAAATTAAAAATCACAACTTCATTGCTTGTTAATGTAAAGTAACTATTAACTTACATTAATAAACTATCTATTTGACATTTATAAATGATGGTTATTGTAAAGTGTTACCAAAGATTTAAAAAAAAAATTTAAACAAGGATCTTAATATAAAGTTTATGTCAATCCCATACTTCACATGAACTACTATGGTGGTGGCTCAGCTTATTATACCTTAGCTTATAGACACCACCGCTCCAAATCAAATAAAGACATGAAACGCTGCAATTTAAAATTTGTTTTTACTTAAAAAAGTTTAAAATAAAGATGTACAATTCAACCCAAATAAGACGCCATAGTACACTTCAGCTCTAGAGACAGATGGAGGGACAGAAAGGCATGACCTGAAATATTTCCCTGTCAGAGCAAACCTGTCGAGAACCGGGATCAAACAAACAAACAAAAACAGTGTTGAACCAGCCGCACCAATGGCTGGCGTTTGCTGAGAATGTGGCGTCTTGGATGCTATTGCAGATTGTCCATCAGTTTCCTAAAAGAGATGAGGACACTTCAGTCAGAGAGACCGGAGCGAATACATTTCTGCTACAGCGTGTCCAGCCTTCCCCGCAGGATCCACAGT